ATGACCTTGTCCAGTCTAAAAGGGCCACGAGAACTGTGTTTAACCAGTGCATGACTTTGCACATACTTAGCAAGAATTACTGCCAAATTGGTTTCTCCTCTCTGTCTGCAACTTCCATTACTAGCAGTTCCTGCCAGAATGAACTGACTCTTTCTGTCTCTGTCTCTGTCTCTGTCTCTCTCTCTTTCTCTCTCTCTCCCTGTGTGTGTCTCTCTCTCTTTCTCTCTCTCTCCCTGTGTGTGTGTGTGTGTGTGTGTGTGTGTGTGTGTGTGTGTACACAGATGCTGAAAACATGAGACTCTATGTAGGGGTCAAACAGAAGACAGGAGCCAATATTCCCAGAAACAGAGTGGTCAGATTTCCTTAAAGAATGTGCAGAGATTGTGTTTCTGGAGTCGAGGGCTCAAATTAAAAGCAAACACAAATGCCACAAAACACATAACAATTTGTTTTTTGGAGGATTCGTGATTCTGAGTTTGGATCCAGTTCTCTTAAATACACATGGAAGCTCTCATCGCCATGGGTCTTCAAGTAGAATTGTATGATTAGAGACCTCATTTATAGCTGTTCAGTGAATTGGAGTGATCAGTGCTTGACTTACCCCTTCTGACTTAACTCTGCCGCTGCAGGTTGGCAATCAACAGAGATCCAGAGTAGAAAGTTTGGTGAGAATAACCTGATCTCTCCAACTGGCTGAAAAAATTTGTGGAAATCAAGACTTGTTTCTGCTGGTTGATGTTTTTAGCAATGCCTTTCTTCATGCCTTGGACATAGTTATTATCCAGTCTGGGGAAAGATAGTCCCATGAAGCTGGGATGCCATGAGCAACCCCCTCACTGGGCCCCAGGTTAATCCTGGGCCTGCCCTGGGTGGCTGAATGTGACGCTCCCAGGCACTGCTGGAGGTGCTGTTATTCTCCTGGGGAATGTGAGTTCTAGCTGGGAGAGAAACTGATGATTGCAGCGCACATGTGGCTTGCTTGTCTCTGTTCCCTATTCTAAGCGTTGAGATTATATGGTTGGGTGTACCCGGAAAGGCTTCTTGGAAAGGCGATTCCATGAGTTGCTTCGATGCTAGGCGGCATTGTCTGTCTGCTGGAAAGTAGGACCTGACAGGAACAGAGGACGGATGGGGACACTCCTGGGGCCAGGCAAGTCTGCCAGGAGCTTAGCCAGGGTGTGTGAGTGTTAGGGTAGGGCTGGGTGGGGAAGTGTGTATGCGCCAGATGGCTTTTATCTACTTGCCTTTAAAAAACACACAACAGGACCTTTTCCCCTTGAGGATTTTAGAAATCAGTGCTGAGGCCTGGGGAAGCTTGGTCATCAGGCTCTACTTATTTTAGTGATGGCCTAAGTTTCTTTCCTTCTGTTTTTCTCTCCTTCCTTCTTTTTTTTTCCTTCATGAAATCTTAATTCCAATTTCTTTCTTCAGTCCCTAATTTTTTTCCCTTTCATCAAACTTTTGGTGGCTGTTTGAAGTAGGCATTGGGAACGCTCCTCCGATGAGCATGAGCGCATCTTAGAAGGAGACACAGGCCTCTGTGGCCTGCTCTGAAGAGGAGCGTGTGGCCGTCTGTGGGCACATGTGGAGCGGGAGCCCTGCTTCGTGGACCACACAGAAGGGCCAGAGCAGGCTTCCTGAAGATGGGAGACCTCAGCTAATCTTGAAAGATGAGTTCTATTTAGCTATAAAAAAAAAAAAAGCACAACTCCCCCGGAAGACACCATTCACACAGCCAGCCCCCTACACCCCACCCAGGAGGCTGCTGGGAATAATTGGAGCAGTGCTGCCAAGGATGTTTGTAGAGTCTTCCCCCACTGAAAAAAATAAAAAAGAACGAAGGCAGCCTTTTTTTGAATAAAAACATTTGCCAGAGATCACGGGTTTTGGCAGGTTACGTTTTATAGCGCACAGCCTTTTAGTGTGAAATGAAGAGCATGTCAAGTTCAGGTGCATTTGTGTAATTGAAGCCCATTTTCTGTATTGAACACCATTAAATATGATCGTGGGAGGAGTTCAGGTTTCCTTGGTGCCTGGGGAGAAACCCTGGGCTGGATACTTCGCATTTGTTTTATCGTTTGGTTTTCACAATGACACCCCGAGGTATTATTTTATGCGTATTATTGGAAGGAAGGAAGGAAGGAAGGAAGGAAGGAAGGAAGGAAGGAAGGAAGGAAGGAAGGCTGGCTGGCTCTCAGCTTCCCATAAACAGCAAGTGGTCGACCTGGGGTTTAAACCCAGGTGAGTTTGACATAGAAGCTCAGGGGTTTTCCACTATGCGGACACTCCTTCCCTAGGGAAAAGGAAGAGTCTTGTCCCCAAATCAAATACAAATTTGCCTTGTCAGTGGGAGACTTAACGATTACCTTAGGGCAGGTGAGGGAGTAAAGAGCAAACACGCAGTGAGCATGAAAAGAGAACCGGGAGAGGTCTGAGCACAGGTCACCGCAGGGCCCTGTTTGGTCCTGCTTCCACACGCCGCCTTGACAGAGGAGACCAGACAGCCGGCTCCCCGGGTTTCTTCTTTCGTTTTCTTTTTCCCGTTTGTAGTCTCCACTGTGGACACCACTCTGTTGTTTTTTCATAAAACAGCTGAGCAGCAAAATGGCTGGAAACACTATCCTGGTCTCTTGTCAGGCCTTGGATTGAATCCCAGCACCAGCACAAGCCAAGGGGATTTGGATATGTCTGTGGAGACCCAATTGCAAAATTATGACACACATAGCTGGGACTTTGCTGTTTCTTTCTTGCCCAGAAGCAGCTTGGGTTTAACTGAAATTGCAGCTTAGTCCCAAAACGAGTTGAAGACATTTTGAAAGATTTGCCTGCTAACCTTTCAGTTCTAAGACTGTGACTTTCACAAGTTCTGGAGCCTTGTCTGTCTGATTTTCTGCACCTCCCTGTGTCCAGAGCCAGGCCTGGATGTTGATTAGCTCAGTAGGGGTTGGAGAAACACCTACTCCAGCAGTTGGGGGTGGTGACTGCATGCAGCGATGGCTGAGAAGGCCCCTGTACATGGAATCCAGACCTGCAGGCTCACAATCCCTGCATCTGGAAGACTAGTACAGAGTCATTTTTGAAGCTCTTATCACAAATCATAAAAATGTTCCCACTGACGATGGTGTTGCTACCATGGTTTGGACGGACACGTGCCACATGCTGGCTTAGACATTTTCCATAGCGGGTCTCACTGTCTCAGTTTAACCACATTCCTGCAAGACAGGCAATCTTGACACTCATTTCCTCGCTAGGGAGGAACCTGAAGCTCTCTGAGAGAGTGAGTACTTTCCTCCAAGGCCACACGGCTGGTAACAGGTGTTCTTACTGAGAAAGTGGACTCCATCAGACAGGATGCGTGGGCCTCTCTGCCTCCTCCCTCTTCCCTCTGCATCCTCACTCTGCCTTCTGTTAAAATGGAAGTGTCCTTCAACAGGAGAAGGAACACTTTGGAAATGCCTTCCTTTGCTCCTCTCCTCCTCCACCCCATTCCCCACCGCAGTCCCTCCACTTCCCTTATGGAGTCGTGGCTCTCTCTCCCTCTCTCCCTCTCTTCCTCTCTCCCCCCGCTCTCTCTCCCTGGGCTCATCTCCCTCCATGGAGCTCTCTTCTCCTCCTTGGGGGCTGTGCTCTCCTGGTTTTCTGCCTGCTTTCCTGTTCTTTTAACATTTACCAACCTCTCTCCTTTAACTCTACTAAACACTGACGGGCTCCGGGTCCTTCTCCCTGATCTGTGTTCTCTGTCTTGCCATCTTCCCTGGTAAACTCATCCAGTCCAAGGTGGTGAGAATCATCTTTTTGCCATCAGCTCCCAGTTTATTTCTAGCTCTGACTAGAAGTTTGCTGTTGACTCCAAGCTGGGCTCTCTCCACCCAGCCCGTTTCTCTGCCCAGTCTTCCTCTGAGTAAATAGCACCACGCAGTTGCTAAGAATCCAGGAGTCACCTTGGAGTCAGCTTTTTCCCTCAAGCCCCGTGTGCAATCCAGCAGGGCCTGGCGATTCTGCCCCGGGTACCTCCTGACTCCCTTTCCGTCCTTCCGTCTTCACCGGGATCACTCCAGCCCATGCTGCCGCCTGCAGAGCTACAGCCGTGGCCTCTAACGGGTTTCCCTGTGCTTTGTCATCATTGTTCCTGTATAGTTATTTCTTCCCACAGCAACTAGAGTGCTTCGTGCAGCCTCGTAACGATTGCGGGCCGGGTATGCTCCAGGCCCTGTCATAGGGCAGTTAATCCTTAGAAGGTCGGCAGGGTTCCACCTGTGCATTTCAGATGGGGAAGCTGACGTGCAGAGCAGCTCGTTGATTTGTCCAAGGCTGAAGCTGGGGTTAAACCCAGGCGGTAGGTCTTGAGTCGGTGCTCTTGAATCTGGTCCCTCATCTCCTTGAAATGCCCCCAGGGCCTGTCCTCTCCTGGGCTTGAGGGCTCCTACCGGCCCCCGCCTCATCTCCTACCACGTCCTCCCTCTCCCCTCCTGCCACTTTGTACTCCGGGTTGTTCTCAAGTTCTCAAGCTCTTCATATCCACCACAGGGACTTTTCCCCAGCTGTTCCTGCTGCCCAGAGCCCTTCCCTGCCACTTGTTCACACGGCTGGACGCTCCAACATGGGTGCACAAGGCCCCCAGGTCTCCTGATGTCAAGTAACCCCTCACCATCTTTTATTCTCGGAGGCCCTTACTCTTGTCTCATGTTGCTGTCATTCTTTTGGTGACGCTCATTGTTCATGGCGATATATAAGTTCTATGGAATGAAACTCTCCGGCAGCAGGACATGTAGATACATGTTCCACGCCCTGTGTCAGTGCCAGTGTTGAGAGGCACTTTGTGAGTGGATGTGTGGGTGAGTGAACACATGAGTGCCTGGCACCCTGGAACTCAGAGCCGGGTGCTTTTGAGCCTGTGCATTTCCCTACTATGCCATGTGTCTCTGTCTATACAATTCACGGTTCAAGCCTTTAAGTACCTCTCTTTGGGCATACTCAAAAGGTGTCTGTCCTTTTTATAGGTGATCAAAGAAGCCTACAGTGGCTGTAGTGGGCCCGTGGACTCAGAATGTCTTCCTCCACCCAGCTCCCCGGTGCACAAGGCAGACCTGGAGAAGGTAATGGCGTTGCTCTTGCTGGGGGTAGTCACCTTGCAGTGGATTTAGGTCTCCTTGAAAGTTTGATAATATTCTCTGAGAATTTCAGGCAGACAGATCACGAGGTTAAGAGATCGAGACCATCCTGGCCAACATGGTGAAACCCGATCTCTACTAAAAATACAAAAAAATTAGTGGGTCATGATAGCACACACCTGTAGCCCCAGCTACTTGGAGGCTGAGGCAGGAGAATCACTTGAACCCCAGAGGCAGAGGTTGCAGTGATCCGAGATTGCGCCACTGCACTCCGGCCTGGGCGACGGAGCAAGACCCTCTCTCAAAAAAAAAAGACAAGAAAAAATGCAGTCATGCTTCCCATCCTTTTAACTGCCTGCTTTGTGCAAAGCTTGAGGTGGCCATTTTACAGACTGTGTAGTTAGTTTTGTTACTTCCAGCTGCAGATGAAGAAATGGATTTAAAGGTGCAAGGGCCTTGTTCAAAGGCACGTAGCTATTCAGCAGCAGGGCTGAAGCCCGAAGGCGAGCCTGTGTGCTTCGGGAATGCAGCAGGCACGCCATAAATGTGCTTTCCCAGAGTTCCCCGCCTCCCTTTCCTTTGCCCCCTTGCTGCTTGTTGGAAGGCAGAGGAGCACAGCAGTGGACAGGGATGGCCTGTCCTCTCTACATCCCTTTTTGCCAGGAATATATAGAGCCCCTCACTGTCCGCCGCAGGCCCCGCTCTGACTGCACTGTTTGTCTAAATATGACGGATGTTGTTTCCTTGGCGACCCCTGCTTCCTGCCGTGAAACCTGCTGGCAGCTTGTGTCCCAGGGGCTTTCTGAGCCCTCCCTCTCCAGCCCCCTGCCCGTGAAGAGGCAGAGATCCTTTTTTGTCTGTCCTTGTATGAGTCAGGATTCTCCAGAGAAACAGAATTAATGGGATGTGTGTATGTAGAAACAGATTTATTATAAGGCATTGGTTCACATGCTTATGGAGCGTGCAAGTCTGAAATCCGCAGTGTGGGCCACAGCGGGAGACCCAGGAGAGCCGATGGTGCAGCTGGAGTCTGCAGGAATTTCAGGAGAATTCACTGGCTCAGAGAGGCCAGTGGTTTTGTTCCATTGAGGCCCTCAACTGATTGGATGAGGCCCACCCACATTATAGAAGGCAAGCTGCTTACCCAGAGCTCCCTAATTCAATTGTTAATATAATCCCCAAGTGCCCCCCATATTGACACATAAAATTGACCATTGCAGTCCTCATCCTGATACTGAATGGAACAGGCTGTTTTTCCCTGACTTTAAAATCAACATCTGCTCACTTCAGAAAATTCGGAAAGCATAGAGAAACATGAATGGGATGAAAGAGTCATTCATTGCTACAACACGTAGAGGGCGCAGCTCCTCTTAACGCTCTTGATATATTAACCCCTTTTTTTCCTGAGTTTATGGGTTTCTTTTACGGTTTGGAGAATCTTAGGCATAAAATTTCTTATATGCTTTTTTTCACTTAACTTTTGTATTACTAGCAAATTTCCAGGTTTGTAACACCTCTTAAGGCACACACATTTTTCCCTTTTCATTAGCTTTGTCCTCTTTTAGGCCATCTACAATAAAATGATACTTGACATCTTTTATATAATTTTTGCTGATTCTCTGCCTATTACTTGAGAATAGATTTCTGGAAGCCGAATTATTAGACCAAAGACCTCTTTTTCTTTTTTTAAGATTTTGATTCATGTTGAAAATAAATTGTTTTCCCAAAAGGTTGGTGCGATTTCATTTCCCACCATAGGGCATCCAAGCTCCTCGTCCACCACCCGCACCGGAATTGGTGATGCTGCTATACTTCTGTTGCTTTCTGAGGCAGTACTGTGAGCACGGGCTGAACCTGTGGCCCTGGATTCCTGGGATGTTCCTGGGGTGAGAGCCAGGGCGCTGCCGGTGTAGGTCACTATATCACTGGAACTCGGCTTCCCACTGAGTGACGCCCATTGCTTCACTGCAGCTCTCACGGGATTGCCTCTCGAATTCCAAGTTGAACACGTGTGTTCCTTTGTGACTGGGAACTGCTACATATCTCATCTGCATCCAGCTGGCCAGTCTCCAAGGCCCTGGGGTGGAAGGCACAGGATCTGAGGACGGTGTCTGGAGGCCACTCCCTCTTCTGTGACCCCACAGGTGCTTGGGTGGCAGTGGAAGGAGTCTAGCCGCAAACACTGGACCTCATTCCGCTGCTAACACGGAACCCTCGTCACGCTCATTAAATCCGGAGGTTTGGACTGAGAGAGTGACAGTCCCCAGCCCGCTCCACAGGTTTTGATAGTAACCTTGCCCCCACTCCGTGTACATTCCGAGTGTACGTGTTAAAAACAAATGCTTGACACTCACCCGGTTAATTACTGCTGAATGACAGGAAGAAATTAAATGGACTGTGGAATATTTACTTCTGCAAGGATAGTATGGCTTGGTGAGGGAAGTATTTTCTGTAATCATAATATTTTTTCAAAATCATTTACAAGAAGTGATTTGAATGAAATAGGCATGAGACAGTATATATATAGGTTAGTATAATTATGGCCTCAGTGAGGTTTTTCCTGTTTCGTTTCTCTTCCTCAGGATGTTTTTAAAGCGGCTGTAGCCACCTAAGCAGCCCGTCTCTGTTACCGTTAAGCTCTAACTCCTGGATTGCTATGAACTTGGCCCGTGTTTTCTTTCACTTTTGAGATCACTGTTGGTTGATCCATCACACATCGCTTGGTCCAAGTGACCCCTGTAAGAATAACTTCATCCTTTTCATCCTTTCAGAAACTGTCTTCAGAGAGACCCAGCTCAGATGGGGAGGGCGTGGTGGAAAATGGAATCACCACATGTAATGGAAAGGAGCAAGGTGAGTTCTTCTATGCCAAAAATACACAAACTTAAAAAAAAACACAGCCAGGTTTGCAAAGTCTGGTTGTACGAAAGATGTCCTGGGTGATTGCGATGTGTAGATGTCGTCGCCATTGCAGATGATACTGATGGGAGTACCCGAAGACCCGTTGCTGTCAGCCCTCAGGTCTCCTTTTTCCATCCTGCCAGACCTTGGCCGAGCGTGCTCCGTCTTTTTCTGCCCTGCATGTGTTTTGAACTTATGAACAGGTTATTTCTTCACTTTTGAACTCACAACAGGTTATTTCTTCACTTGATCTATCACGGAGACAATTTTGCATTGGTGAGTAGCCGGCGTGTGGCTGAGGGACCTGGTGTCCAGTGAAGAGAGCTCTGGATAATGAAGCAAGAAACCCACTTTCTCAATAAGCTCTGTCTTTGCTTAGCCATATGATCTTGAGCGAATATTCCCTCTTAATAAGCCTCAGTTTCCCCATCTTTAAAATGAGGATGCCAGACCTGTAGATTTCTGAGATTCTTAAAAAAGATTTTCTGAAAATGTCTTTATTTTGCCTTCGTTTAAAAATTGTTTGTTTGTTTTTTGAGACAGAGTCTCGCTCTGTCACGCAGGCTGGAGTGCAGTGGCACGATCTTGGCTCACTGCAACATCTGCCTCCTGGGTTCAAATGATTCTTCTGTCTCAGCCTCCTGAGTGGCTGGGATTACAGGCATGCACCACCATGCCCAGCTCATTTTTGTATTTTTAGTAGAGATGGGGTTTTGCCATTTTGGCCAGGCTGGTCTCGATCTCCTGACCTCAGGTGATCCACCTGCCTTGGCCTCCCAAAGTGCTGGGATTACAAGCATGAGCCACTGCGCCTGGCCTCATTTAAAAATTTTAAAAGATTATACATAATATAAAAAATACATAATATAAAATTCACCGTATTTACCATGTTTCAGTGTACAGCTCAGTGTGTTAAGTATATTCATGTTGTACCATCATCACCACTAGTCTTCAGAACTCTTCATTTTGCAAAACACTGACTCCCCATTCCCTCCTCCCCCAGTCCCTGGCACCCCATTCCACTTCCTGTCTCATGAGTCTGACTTCTCCTGGGACCTCACTGAAGTGCAATCCTACGGGCCGTGTTCTTCTAGAAGTGCTTATTCCACTTAGTTTCATGTGCTCAAGGTTCACCTGTGATGTGGCATGTGTCAGAATGTCTTTCCTTTTTAAGGCTAAATAATACTCCATTGTCTAGACGGACTGCATTTTGTTTGCCCATTTATCTGTTGATGAACACGTGGGTGGCTTCCACCTTCTGGTTAGCATGAATAACGGTGCTGTGAACATGGGTGTGCAGACGGTGAAGTCTCCCTTACGTTTTGCAGCCAGCTTTATGGAGACAGAAACTACATGCAGTGAAATTCACCCTGTTTGACGTAGTGTTCTGTGAGCTTTGACACAGGCACGTAACCATCACCACCATCAAGATACGGAGCGTGGCTCTAACCCCCAGCCCCATTGCGTTCCTGTGCTCTTTTCTATCCCGTCTGCCTGGACCTCTACCCCGGGCCTTGGCAGCTGCTGATCTGTTTCTTTGTTCTTCACCAGAATGTCGTGATGTGGAAGCATCTTGTTTGCAGACCTCTGCGTCTGGCTTCGTTCACTCCGCGTGCTGCGCTGGAGAGCCGTCCGTGTTTGTGGCTGGTGCCAGCAGTTAGCTGGTTCCCTGCTGCCGCCGACGGCATTCCATTGTTTAGATGGACCGCAGTTAGTCCATTCGCCCCTTGAAGAACATTTGAGACGTTCCCACTTTGGGGCGATTGGTTAAAAATCTGTTCTGTTCATTGGGAGACAGGTTTTTGCACGGACACATGTTTTCATTTCCCTTTGGTACAGAAGCTGGGAGTGGCTTGCTTGGTACAGCCTCGGTATTGTCACCCTTGGGTTGCTCTTTCTATTTTAGCCATTTTAACGGGCGTAGTGGCATGCAATTGTGTTTTAATGTGCATTTCCCTAATAATTAACAATGTTGAACATTTTTTTAGCGTGCTATGTGTCATCACTATACCTTCTTTGGTGAAATGTCTCCTCAACTCTTTTGTTCATATTTTTATTGGATCATTTGTGCTCATTGAGTTTTGAGGGCTCTTTGTATTTTCTGAATACAAGTCCTTTATCAGATGTGTTTTGTACATATGTTCTCCCGGTCTGTGGCTGGACTTGTAACTTCCTTAGCAGTGTGTGGACGGAGGTGAAGGGCATGACTTTGGGGTGGGGTGGGAGTGTCCCCTCTGCCTGTGTGCTCACTGAACCTGTGACCGTGGTGGCTCAGCTGAGGAATCTGACCACCCGAGCCCACCTGCCCACTCGTGGGGTGAACCGAGTGTTTCCTGTCTCTTAGCCCACTAAGAACCTTGGAGCTCAAATAATCTGGACTGTTGTGACATCACAGAGTTCACTCTCAGAGGTCACGATGCCACTTTTTTCATGGTTTTCTGAGTGTCCTATCTGAGTGTAATTTCGGTTCTATCCATCGGAAGTTATTCAGTGGAAAGTATTATCTCTGTCTTACACAGGGCACACATTATGTGTAATCAAAGCCAGGAAAGCTCTCTTTAAGTTTTGCCCTGAAATCAAATAACACAGTCTCAATGTTCCTACTTAGAAGTTGAGGCTCAGCAGACGTTGGTTTGCTCGGCCCATTTTCTGGTTTGCTGTTTCTTCTCCCAGTGCACCTGTCAGGCTCTGCAGAATAATATGTGTGTCTGGAGCTCCTTGTAAGCAGAGTATCTATATTTAACATTTTCCTGCTCCCTCCGAGCAAGAACAGCCTTCTATACTTTGGAATTAAACGGTGCTGACCTCGGTTTGCACATTTCCTTTTTGTCTGACGTGGTGCGTTGCATGTAGTAGACACTCAGTAGTCATGGAGAAAGTTAAGGGTTAAGTATATTCTAACCTTCTTTCTTAGCTCCATTCTTGCGTCTCACTCTTGACCAGTTTGCAGCTAAGAGATTTCAGTTAAGCTCTTTTATCCCAGCCATGGTGTAACTCAGACGCGTTTTTCTGCTGGCTGCGTGGAGAAGATCCTGAACTCACACAGGTTTTTCTCACGTTAGAATCTCAGCTGAACAAAGAAACAGTTCAGGCTCCGTGTGGTCAAAGCCACAGGGAACGACTCCGGAACTCCTGTTTCTTCTGTCAAGGTGGAATCCCTGCCGTCTAATAAACCAATGCAACGTGGCTGATCCTGGTGATCCCACAGCAGGTGTGAGGAGTGCGGGCTGAGGAGGTCCCGGGACCGTCCGCATGGGAGCTGTGAGGCTCCTCAGCCCCACTTCACAGCCGTAAGAGGCCATCATTTGTGAATGTGTCTGTTGGTAGAAGTCATTGAATAAATAGTCTCATGGTGTTAATTCTCACGGCCCCTATTCCTCCCAGTAGCCTAAATTTTATACAGTGCCCGAATGCCCACTCCCATAGGATACTGGGAAGCTGCGGGTCTATGAGACGCGAGGCTTTAGAGAGTGCCCGCATCAGCCTTGCTCCGGTGGTGTGCGCCGGAGCCTGCCCACCTCGCTAGCCAGCGTGTGCCTGGACAGTCCCGCTTTCTACTCTCTAGCTGCAGGGGAGTCAGAGTTGACTGTGTAGCTTCTCTTCCCGGTTCTGTGGTCTGTGCTGATCTCTGCCTTTCGTTTGATACACAGCATCCAGTTGCTCTTGACGGTTTTATCCTACTGGCCTCTTTCTTCCAAGGATTGCCTTACTTCTCCTTTTGTAAAAAACGACTCAGGGAGTATTCAAGGAATTCCACGTTTTCATCATAATCCCATGTCTTTGAAGTCAGAGCTTAGCAAGCACTTTGTCGCTGAACTGGGCTTTCATCTGAAACCCCGGCTTGCTGCGGTGGGTGGCATTGTCTGTGGGGATGCCTCTTGCCCCACCAGCCTTCCTCAGGGTGCCCTGGGCACTCCGGCCGTCCTGGCCAACAGGATCTTCTTCATAAAGCTTGCCGGAATGGGGCTGCGGTAAGACATCATCCTCGGGTCTTCAGAAACAGCTGGGAGGGGCCGTCCACGGTGGCTGTCCCTCTTGGGTTGGTGGAAATGACACTCAAGTGATACAGCCGTCCCAGCTGTACGCCTCTCTGTCTGATGATAGCTGGGAGGAGCTGTGCCCTCAGATTCAGGGATCGAAAGCGAGTGTCGGTGCTTTATTTTAAAAGAGGGTGTGTGTGTTTTGGGAGAGTGGAAATAGGGGTGGGGGGGCATTCCTGGGTTCTTTGTCTCTCATATCACATGAGGCCTAAGTCTGATTTGTTTAAAATGACACAAAAATGCTGGGACTGTGTTGTCATAGTCAGCTTGGGCTGCCGACTGGGTGGCTGAAACAGCGTGCATTTAGACAGTCCTGGAGGCTGGAGTCCGAGACCCAGGTGCCGCCAGCGTTGGTGCTCTGAGGACTGCTTCCTAAAGGCGGCTTCTCCCATGGCCTTCACCCGGCCCTCCTGCCGTGCTTGTGCAGCCGCTTTGCAGAAGGACACTAATGCTGCGGGCCCAGGACCTCAGCGGGAGGCTGGAGCGCGGGAGGGCGAGGCGCGAGGCAGGAGACACGCAGGGGTGTGTTCTGCCGTCCTCATGCGTTTGGCTCTGGCGGGGGCAGCAGGGTGGAGGAAGAAGGACTACTTCCCACCTCCATCAGAGAGAGCTGGAGATTAGAAGGATGAGGAGACTGCATGTGAGTGTGTGTGTTTAGAGGAAGGGTTTCGGAGTCAGGCCAGGGCGTGCCATCCTGTGTCCCGGCCTCTCTGCCTCTGCAGTTCTTCCATGTGGTGTGTGCAGGTGTCCATTTGTCCATGGGGCAGGGGGTGGGAGGGACCCCTTGACTTTCATCACCTTCTGAAAGGGTCTGTGAGCTCCGAAGGCTTCAGACAGCAGGTTGAGGGATTCATATTGGAGATGAAGGGGAAAGGGTCTGGGCAGTGGGGTTTGGGCCATGACACTGAGGATCCCTCTGTCCCCTCAGCTCCGGGAGCCCCGCAGTGCAGCTGTGTCCCCTCATCTCCAGTGTAACCTGCAGTGTAGTTGTGTCCTAAGCACCTGTGTCCTGAGCGCCTTGCTGGCCTCTCTCAGCTCCGTGAGCCCCACAGTGTGGCTGTGTCCTGAGTGTCTCACTGGCCTCCCCTCAGCTCCAGTGCCAGGCACATAATGGCCCTGGGGAGATGGGATGGGCAGACAGCCCACCTTCTCCGAGGGTTGCTCTCTGGCCCAAAGGGTCTCGTCATTTGGTTCGGGTGCTTTCTCACATGCACGTTCTGATTTCGTGCCTGACCTGTGTCCCTGTAATTCTGTGGGAGGTCACGGACAGAGCCTGTGGGGATGGAGAGAAATGCCAGTGACAGGGTGGGGCAGATACAGAATGCCAGCTGGCAACTGATCCTGGGCCTCCGTGGTGGGAGACGGTGGGGTGATGAGAACCGCCCATGTTGTCCCTCACTGTCCCATGTGTGTGGAGATGCTTCTGTGGCCCTGCTGCCGTTACTTGCCCTAATGCGGGTCCAGGGACGCTGGGTCTTTCTGTTGTTCACAGGAAGCCAGGCATCATCTTCATGCACAATGCGGATGAGTTTTATGTGTCGACAGTGAACTCCAGTCTAACACTGTGCTGGCTGGACTGAGCACAAGGGGCTGGAAGGCAGGCCCTGGGTCCGAGAGCTCTGGATAGGGCTGCGTCGTGTGAGTGTCACAGATGCACAGGGTCCCCTGAAGAAGACCCAGTTCCCCTTCCCTTCCCGGCCTCCCCTTGCCAGCAAGCCCATAGCTGTACTAGCTGCCTTCTGCTCCTCGGACTCTCTGTGCCACTTTCAGCCTGACAGCTTTTGCGTCACTGATATTTTTCTTGCCTGGACGCTTCTCCCTGAGAGGTACATGGCTAGTTATCAGTTTAAGTCAACCCCTGGACGGGCTTTCTTGGACTGCCCAGCTGCTCTTCCACACAACCCGATCTTAGGTCTCCATGTGGTCCTTGTCAGAAGCTTCCTATGAGCAACCCTGTGTTCTGCTGGAACCCCAGCATCTAGACCAACAGCCAGCACACAGCGAGTGCTGATGAAGTGACAGTCGAGGGCAAGGCTAGGGATGGGGGCTCATACCTGGAATCCCAGCACTTCGGGAGGCCAAGGCGGGGGTGGCTCACTGGAGCCCAGGAGTTTGAGACCAGCCTGGGCAACATGGCGAAACCCCATTTCTACAAAAAGTAAAAAAATTAGCCAGATGTAGTGGCATACACCTGTGGTCCCAGCTACTCCAGAGGCTGCGGTGGGGGGACCAGTTGTGCCTAGGAGTTCAGGGCTGCAGTAAGCTGTGACCACGACACTGCACTCCAGCATGGGCACCGGAGCGAGACCCTATCTTTGAAAAAAGAAAAACATTTCTAGGGAAAGATGAAGTGGGTTGTGATTTATGTTTTAGTTTTTCAATTAATACCTACAGTTAAACTGTGCTTTTTTGGCCGTTGTTATTCTTGACAGTGAAGAGGAAGAAAAGTTCCAAATCAGAGGCCAAGGGCACCGTGTCAAAAGTCACTGGGAAGAAAATCACCAAGATCATCAGTCTGGGGAAGAAGAAGCCGTCCACGGACGAGCAGACCTCCTCAGCCGAGGAGGACGTTCCCACGTGCGGTAAGGCTCACCTGCCCGAGGGGAGCGGTGCTCACCCAAGGGGGTTTCACTTTCTCCTGCGGTGCAGTCTGTACCACGTTCGTCCAAGGCTCGTTAATTCAGGCTGTTTTGCATTGGACATGGACTCATTCAGATTGGGGAAGTGTGTTAAATGTTTACATTTTCACCTCTTATTCACACAAGGCTTTGCAGGAGTTTGAGATGATCTCTAAGGTTCCTTTAAGGAAAAAAAAATTCCCTTTGATCCTCTGAAGTTCTCCCACATCCTTTGGAAGTGTTTTGAAAGGCAGCATATGCAGGGGCTGTTGTAAACAAAGGAGTATGGGAAGAACTTTCTAGAATTAAGGTCAGGCCTTTCCCTTTGGCACAGTGATAAAACTCAGCTTTCTTCTGATGTTGCCGTGCTGGTCACTTTCATGTTGCTGCAGAGGAATGCCTGAGACTAATTTATACAAAGAGAGGGCTGTTTGGCTCACGGCTCTGCAGGCTGTGTAAGTACGGTGCCAGCATCTGCTCAGCTTGTGATGAGGCCCCAGGAAGCTTTTACTCATGGCAGGGACAGAGCGGGAGCTGGTATGTCACATGGCAGGAGAGAGAGAGGAGCAGGAGAGAGGGGAGCAGGTGCCAGGGTCCTTTAACTATCAGATCTCGCAGGAACTACTGGTATGAGGACTCGCTCACTGCTGCAGGCAAGGCCACAAAGCATTCGTGAGGGGTCAGCTCCCACCGGCGCCTCCCACCCTGGGGGTCACACTTCAGCATGAGGTTTGGAGGGGAGAAGTATCCAAAGCAAACCACGTATGTTCCTCAAACGTCAGTTTCAGATCTGCTCTAACACTGACTATGTCCCTGACCCGTGTCATTCAGGAAGTCATCTCCAGCAGCACCATTTGGTGACCACGACAGCCCTGGCCTCCCACGGCTTCCGGTCTGGTAACAAAAGATAAGGACAAGAGCAGTTATCACTGAGGGATGTTTGTAGTAACTGGGTCTGGTTGGCGATAAGAGGGCAAGTGAGGCAACGAGAGGCTAGTCAGAGCCTCAGTGGGCCGGGGGGATCCAGCACTGCGGGGTGGCCTCCACGGAGACGTGGGTGACAGTTTACATCCAGAACGCTTTCAGGGCAGTCAAGTTCAGAAGGACCATGCGGCCCTTCCTAGGAGGGAAACTCGATGAGCTGCCTTTTTGAAAAATTAGGAATGTGCTGGAATTTTCCTTGTGGACTACGGCTGCACATTCAGCTTCGCACAAGGCGAACCCATCATTCCTTCTATTTGATTAGTAATTCTGGTTACCCCCACCCCTTTTGCATCCGTTATGTCATAGGTATTGGATTTTCTTTTGGGATGCAAAAGATACCTCATTTAGTTCCTGCCCAATAGTGCCTAAATGGGGCTGTATACACCGAGATCAGTTTATTCCACAGATCTCACGCCCAGCGGTGTGAGCTCACGTGGCAAGGATGAGAGCGGATGGGCCAAGGTGGTCAGGAGGGTAGCGGGGCAGATGAGAGGAGCCTGTAGGCGAGAAGGTGTGCGCTGTCTTGAAAGGAAGACAGGCTAAGTCTCGGCTCCTCTGCGGCATTCACAGTGTGATCTGGGAGGCGGCATCATACCGATTTCTGGTGGACACCATGGAGTTGGGCAGGCAGCAGTGAAGGCCTTGTGGTCGGAGGAATCTCAAGAGGTGTCCTGTTGAAACAGCCGCTTGTGGGACTGACTTAGCAGGGCTGGCCATCACCACAAGGGACCAGTGACTGAGGAGCCTGGTGCACTCCAGCCTCCCTGAACTGAGTCAAATGGCAGTTGAGTCACAGATGCAGGCCAGTTGGTGCCGATGGTGTTCCACTGCCCCATCTTCCCTCCCTCTACAAGGCGAGAGCTGAAAGGCAGCCACCGTGCTGAAATGCTGTCAGCCGAAGCACAGCTGTAGCACAGAGTGGGGAAAGTGAATCTGATGATGCCCCGGTGCTGCTCCCATTGACCTCTGCCTTTCTTGGAGCGCATGGTAAGGTGGGACTGTCTCACATCAGCCCTTGAGAGAGGGATTAAAAATAGAAGAGGGAAGTAGCCAACAAGAGGGGGCTACTCTTTTGTTTGTGTTTTTTAAATGCTCTAGGTCAGTGGAGGAAATAGAAATTCTTCCTTGAAAAACAATTTAACATTTCTATGAAAGGCAATTGAGAGACTTTGACCCAAACCCCTCCATTTGCAAAGGAGAGCACTGAAGCTCAGAGAGGCTGCGTGGCTTACTCGGAGCCACACAGCGAGCTGAGAGCAGAGACAGCCTCTGGCCCAACTCTGCTGGTTCCCTGTCCCACTGGCCTCCCTGTCCCTTCCCCCAAAGAAATGAACACTGCCGTGGCTCCTGCTAAACAGCTGCATTTGTGCTGGTGACGAGATGCTGGGGTGAACCCTCTTCTTGGAAGCACTCAGGGAGCAGGAGTGCTGCATCCACAGCATCTAATTAGACACGTGTGGATTCCCACCAAACTGCTTAGTGGACAACTTTCGCCTCAGTGTTAACAGAACATCCTCTGTCTACAAGATTTGAAAGCTGTCATCTAGTTCTTTGCAGGGGAAAGGGGAAAGGGAAAGGGGGAGGAGCTTTTAGAAAAATGAAGGGGCAACAGTGACCATTTTCAGTAATTTTAGTACAGCTGCAAAGTTTCAGGCAGAAAAAAGTCGCTGGACAAAGGCCCGAGAGACTGAGCCTGCCAAGTGGAGTCTGCGCAGCTACTTCTCTGCTCCAGAGGGATGAAGGGCTGGGCTGGACTGGCCGGAAGTGCAGTGTTGCTGAGCCCACAGGACAGAGCTCCCAGGAGCCGCTGAAAGCGGAGTTCAAATCCCAGCCCCTCTGCACCGTGCAGCTGTGTCAGCCGTGCCCCTAAATGCAGGACCGAGCTGCTGTGAGGACCTTGCTTGTGGAAGCAGGGGAGGGAAGGCTGTCTGCACGTGGTTTCTGGCTTCAGGAAGGGGTGGCGAGCACTGCAGCCTGGCTGGCCGGGGTCCGCCTAACCCTGCAATGCCTGTTGAGTGACACATTTAGTATTGGGCAGGTCAGCCCAGCACACAGCCACGTAGATAATGCGATCTGAGACAGGTGCAAAGACCCCTGACGAAACAAGTCCTGGAATGCCTGTCACTTTATGAATTAAGCTGCTGTTACCAGGAAACTGACTTCCGTCTTCTCTGCTCCCCGTCCCCATTTTGCCTGTTTGGGACTGTGGTGCCTTTTGACTGGCTCTCCTCGTTCTGTTTGGCGTCCTCACCAGGCCACCAGATGGAACTTTTGAAATGTGAGACTAATCATATCACATTCTGTGCTGATAAAAACCAAAAGTGCCTCCTTTGTTGCCCAATTTGGGGTCTCTAAAATCCTGTCCCCACCTCACGTTTCTACCTTCTCCATGACTGGCTTAAGAACAGGCTCTGATTGGCTCCCTGCCTGTGTCCACAGCAGTGTGCAGAATGTGGCACAGGACACCAGCTCATTAAATACTTGCTGAATGCATGCATTCCTTTAAGCAAATTGCTTAACCTCTGGGAACCCCAGGCTCCTCCATCTATGAAATGGGCTCAGTACTTAAATTCCTTGGTTTTCATAAAAACTGAGGATAAAATACATGAAACACTGAGCTTAATGCCTAGCCCCTAATTTATGCTGGGTAAGTGGTCACTGTTACTACCCATGTGTTCACCTGACGTGTTTTGTAGAAATTCATCTAAGCATATCAGACCTATCCAAGACACTGTAAATGTAACGTCGGACAAATAGATCATGAGAAACGGAGAGGCTGAGAGAAAGGAAAGGCCCCAGCGTGCAAGTTGGAGGGCTTCGTGGAGCCTGGGGAGCCTGAGCTGGCTCTGAAGGACTTACAGGCATTCCCAGGTCCCTTCCAGCTGCAATGTTCTATGACGTTATGAAGCTTTCAATGGCAGGATTTTTTAGGAGACATTCAGGAACGTTACGTATGTCTCAGTTGGTGTCATAATTCACCTCCACAAAAGCCCAGATGAAGCCGGGCACATAGCATGCACCTGGAGTCCCCGCTACTCGGGAGGCCGAGGCGAGAGGATCGCTTGATGCCAGTTCAAGACCAGCCTCAGCATAGCGAGGCACCACCTCACAAAAAGAAATCAGATGATGTCTGATGAAAGGGCAGGAAGGCTTTCTTAGTCCGAGGGTCACCGTGACAGGGTGTTGGTGTACCAGCTCCCCTGCCCCTCGCCTCATAGAGGACACTTTGCAAAGAGCGGAAAGGAGGCTTTTTGGCTTTGGCGGCCGGTGATGCTGCCAGCAGTTTCCTGACATGGTTTCTCCAAGTGCTGCTTCCTGATGCCCCTCTTGCAGGCCCATCTCCTCTCAGCTGGTCACGACCAGGTACTTGCTAAGATGAGACGAACAGTTACCTATGATAAAACGCCTCTCACAAGTGTTGACCCTATTGGCCACGTGCAGCCGAAGTGCAGGAGCCTCCCGGGTAGGCAGGCACTGTCGTTTCCCTTCCTAAAGAGAATAAATACATGGAAACTTGGCCACACTTCTAACAGGCTTTGCCTGCCTGCTCTTCTGCAGCTTCCGGAATTTGAGAGCCACCTGGCATGGAGCCCCGCGACGCCCCATATCTGGAACAGCTGACCGGGAGGCGTTATATACGTTCCCCTCCGCCTGTATTTTTTGCTTGTTTGTCTCATCTTCAGCTGTAAAGTTAGTTTTATATTTCTAGTGAAATCTCATGCCCTCTTGCCACGGTGTTGCAAGAAACTGTGCTTTCTTTAGAATTTCCAGCAGAAATAGCTGAAAACTTTAAACAACTCCCGGATTTAAAATTCAGTAACACCCTACCATAATATGATAAGTGGGATTCAAAAATGAAATCAGATGTCTCAGGACCTGCCTTGGCAAGGCAGGGAAGCTCTCGCCTGCAGTGCTTCCTGCAGGGTCCAAGTTGGCCAGTCCTGGCTGCTCTCTGGCCCCACCTGGTGGTGGATGTTGCTCCAGCCTAAATGTGTTCCTGGGGATGACTTGGGGTCCTCATTCTCCCGATTGGGAGAATGCTGGGGGGTGCAGAAGAGCCTCTGACTCTAGACACATTAGATGAGGTGGTCTGCCATTTCCTGCATGGCCTCTTTATGTTCCCTGCACAGGTAAATGCCCAAAATGCCTCCCTGTTTTGAGAAATGGGGACGGGGGCTGGATGGGGTAGGGGCAGTTGCTGAACACGGACAGGTGACTGTGGAGCCCCTGCTGATGGGAACAGGTCTGTTAACCCCAGGGGATTTTTTTTGGGAAAAGCTGTTAAAAATCATGCTCTATATAACATGTGAATCTGTCCAGTATAATCATCCCTTTTGTGACTGAAATGTCAAGACATTCCAGCATCTTGGGGGCTCTGGGCCAGATTCTGTCAGGGAAGAAGACACCATGAGAATCCATGTCCCTCTTCGGGACCGGGTCCTCTGTGTTTGGAATTCCTGCCCCATGGCACTGTGGGTCTCTGTCATCGGGTCACTGGCGTTTCAAATCTTGGGCTCCGTGACGGGGTTACTGAGTCCTGACTGCTCAGAGCACGGGCCGTTTTCTTCCCTGTAGCTTACCGCTTCTTTTCAGAAACCGTTTTTGGCCATGTTAACTTAGGCACCTCGGTACGTGAAGTTATGTGAGAGGAGGCCTTGCCTTCCTTTTCCTTTTAGATTACGCCATCGCGTTTGTCAGCTCGCGCCCCGGACATACTTAGGCCTGATACAGTGGGCCGTCGTTGCGTGAAAGTCTGAAGATGGAGAAATGTTGGCTCTCAGTGCGAGTGGCTTCTGTGGACGGTATCAGATCCCTGGCGAGCACGAGGTTCCCAGGGCTGTTACTGGATGCTCACATATGCTCGTTGACTCTCTTTTTAAGTAGCGCTTTCTTTTTTCTTGTTAAGGAATAAATGTATTGGAACCACATCATTTATAAATACCATTTTACAGAACAAAAATGGTGGTGTAGGGCCCCGGTTGTACTCATGTTAACAGCTCTTCATCTGCCATCTTTAACTCACAACAAGGGTTGAGATCTGGCTTTGCTGTGTGGTCTGGTCTTGGACAACATACTTCACATTGTCTGGGAGGTAACTTCCTCCCTCAAGAGGTAAAGCCTCTGAGACTCTCCAGCTTTGATTCTGGAACGTCTTCACCCCGCTCCATCCCTCCTAAGTCTCCGAAGTACAGGGAGCTTGGATGAGCGTAGCTCGCTCTCTGAACACAAGAGGGCAGCCATGGCACCGGCCTCGGAGCCTCAGACCGGCTTCTTTCTCTGTCACTCCTAAGCACAGCAGCCCACAACCCGGATGAAAGTTTTAGTTCCAGGAGGAGCAGTGTGCATTTCTCTTCAGTGTGTGTCGGTAGAAATGACATCATATTCAGCCAATGAGAATTTAGACTTTATGAGTGCGTACCTGGTAAGCCATTGAGTCAGTATTTATAAGTAATAAATAAAGCATCATTCTGGGTCCTGAACATACCTCTCTCTCTCTCTCTCTTTTTGTCTTTATAGCATTTATCCATTGCTAATAAGGTGCATGAGACTGAGAACATAAAAAAATAAGAAACATCCTCCAAAACCCTTTTGGAAAGGCATTTTTATTAATGTTTTTAACGACAGGGTCTCACTATGTTGCCCAGGCTGATCTTGAACTCGTGGCCTCAGGTGATCTTCCCGCCCAGCCTCCCAAGTAGCTAGGACTACTATTGGCTGGAAAAGGAATTTGAAAAATCAGAATTGGAAAGGGTGTATTTTGTTTTATTTATTAATATTTTTAGGGCGGGGTATGTGTGTGTGCGCATGTGCGAACTGAAGGAGCAGCTGAGTGACTGAAGTCAGGAATCTTGTGTTTCTTTTTCTCCCATCATCAATATTTTATATGCTATTTAACTCATTTTCTAAATCTTAAAGGGCGAGCAGTAATTTACTAGCATTATGGTGTGGTTGGAAGGTGCAGCCACCCTGATATCTGCTTTTTTCATGTGTTGTTATTTCTAGAAGAATGCATTTTTATGTTTGTAAAAAGTGAAATTTGTCCATTTCCCGTATTTGAGGAGGATTTTATTTTAATGAGGAGAATAATTTTTCCTGTAATTCTGCCACTCGTCCATCTGTGGTGTACTGAAGATACTGTGCCATACCAGAGACACAGATCACGAAATGTCATGTGCATTCAGCCCTCGGGTCTAGATTCCCCCTGGGCAGCCTCACCAGTCACTTTTCAGTTGCAGGAGCAGAAAGGTGGCAGGTGCGTCCTCAGCCTCGGGTGGGAATCTGTACCAGCTGGACTGCTTCCAGCGCCGGGAGCTTAGCGCCTCCCAGGGCCTCCTATTTCTTAGAAAGTTTTCATTTTTAGATAGTTTTTGTTTCTTCATGTTAAGCCCAAATCTACCTGCCGATGGCTCTTACCCTCCTCAAAATAAATGAAATCCTTTTCCAGTTTGAAGACAGCTGTTGTGCCCCCATTTCCTTCTGGCCATCCGAAACCCGACGGCCTGCTAACTTCTCACGTGCTCTAGGTGAATTCCACAGTCCCACATCAACACTAGACGGCTGGTAACTGGTTCTTTGTACATGTGAAACTAGGGGCTTCTGGACATGGTCTGTGTTGTGTGATGAAAGCCCCCAAAACTTGAGATGCTGTAGCGGTGGCTCTCCGAGTTTATGTGAATCTGCACTTCAGACTGGTTTGATTGTGTGAGAGGTTTGTTTAATCCGCGGTCCCTTCCCTGGGCCTCCTTAGTGCAGCTCTAGACGGAGGCGGCTGACGTGTGGCCTTGTCTCCCTGCAGGCTATCTGAACGTGCTCTCCAACAGCCGCTGGCGGGAGCGCTGGTGCCGAGTGAAAGATAACAAGCTCATTTTCCACAAGGACAGGACGGACTTGAAGACCCACATTGTGTCTATCCCGCTCCGTGGCTGTGAGGTGATCCCAGGTTTGGATTCCAAACATCCTCTGACATTCCGGCTGCTTCGCAACGGCCAGGAGGTGGCGGTATTGGAGGTAGGGTATTTTCCAGGGGCTGCACTCCAGAGGGACACACGTGGTGATTTTCCTTTGAAAAGCCGACTGCTGGCTCCTCTATCAGAATTCCTCCTGTCTTGCTGACAGCAGCTCTTTTCGGCCCACCCCCTTTTCTCTCACTGCCCAGTCTGTGAGTCTTCGCTTTGCTTCTTTCGGGGAGATGCAATAAAGCAGGGAGCCCAGCACCCCTTTCTACCCAGCTGTCCACGTCAGATTGGCTTCCCTCATTGTCTGAGATCCTCGGGCTGTTTGCAGGGAAATGAAATACGCAATCCCGCAGAGTACATTGCTTTCTTTAAAGTACCTGGAAAATAACTGGTTTTAGAATTTCCAAGAAAACTCTTTCCCCTGTGAGCTACCTTTGAAATGGTGGTAAATGTTTCCTTTCGAATGTTCTTGACGTCTTTATGGATGGAAGACTTTTTGGGGCCATCTGAATGCCCTAGAGACAGCGGCCAGTGAGCCACATGACACAGAAACCAAAAGAATAGCTTTGGGGTGTGGGAGCCCTGGACTTGGAGCACCTTTGGGGTGTGGGAGGACTGGACTTGGAGCACCTTTGGGGTGTGGGAGGACTGGACTTGGAGCACTTTTTGGGGTGTGGGAGCCCTGGACTTGGAGCACCTTTGGGGTGTGGGAGGACTGGACTTGGAGCACCTTTGGGGTGTGGGAGCCCTGGACTTGGAGCACCTTTGGGGTGTGGGAGCCCTGGACTTGGAGCACCTTTGGGGTGTGGGAGGACTGGACTTGGAGCACCTTTGGGGTGTGGGAGGACTGGACTTTGAGCACCTTTGGGGTGTGGGAGGACTGGACTTGGAGCACCTTTGGGGTGTGGGAGCCCTGGACTTGGAGCACCTTTGGGGTGTGGGAGGACTGGACTTTGAGCACCTTTGGGGTGTGGGAGGACTGGACTTGGAGCACCTTTGGGGTGTGGGAGGACTGGACTTTGAGCACCTTTGGGGTGTGGGAGCCCTGGACTTGGAGCACCTTTGGGGTGTGGGAGGACTGGACTTTGAGCACCTTTGGGGTGTGGGAGGACTGGACTTGGAGCACCTTTGGGGTGTGGGAGGACTGGACTTGGAGCACCTTTGGGGTGTGGGAGGACTGGACTTGGAGCACCTTTGGGGTGTGGGAGCCCTGGACTTGGAGCACCTTTGGGGTGTGGGAGGACTGGACTTGGAGCACCTTTGGGGTGTGGGAGGACTGGACTTGGAGCACCTTTGCGGTGTGGGAGGACTGGACTTGGAGCACCTTTGGGGTGTGGGAGGACTGGACTTGGAGCACCTTTGGGGTGTGGGAGGACGGGACTTGGAGCACCTTTGGGGTGTGGGAGGACTGGACTTGGAGCACCTTTGCGGTGTGGGAGGACTGGACTTGGAGCACCTTTGGGGTGTGGGAGGACTGGACTTGGAGCACCTTTGGGGTGTGGGGGCCCTGGACTTGGAGCACCTTTGGGGTGTGGGAGGACTGGACTTGGAGCACCTTTGGGGTGTGGGAGGACTGGACTTGGAGCACCTTTGGGGTGTGGGAGGACGGGACTTGGAGCACCTTTGGGGTGTGGGAGGACTGGACTTGGAGCACCTTTGGGGTGTGGGAGGACTGGACTTGGAGCACCTTTGGGGTGTGGGAGGACTGGACTTGGAGCACCTTTGGGGTGTGGGAGGACTGGACTTGGAGCACCTTTGGGGTGTGGGAGGACTGGACTTGGAGCACCTTTGGGGTGTGGGAGGACTGGACTTGGAGCACCTTTGGGGTGTGGGAGGACTGGACTTGGAGCACCTGTGGGGTGTGGGAGGACTGGACTTGGAGCACCTTTGGGGTGTGGGAGGACTGGACTTGGAGCACCTTTGGGGTGTGGGAGGACGGGACTTGGAGCACCTTTGGGGTGTGGGAGGACTGGACTTTGAGCACCTTTGGGGTGTGGGAGGACTGGACTTGGAGCACCTTTGGGGTGTGGGAGGACTGGACTTGGAGCACCTTTGGGGTGTGGGAGGACTGGACTTGGAGCACCTTTGGGGTGTGGGAGGACGGGACTTGGAGCACCTTTGGGGTGTGGGAGGACGGGACTTGGAGCACGTGGTGTTATTTGTTTGGCTGCCTCACTAGAGCTTACTCATGAAAGCAGAAAAGACAGTTACAACTTATAGCTACATACTGAAAACTTTCGTTATTGAAAGTTTTTCATTTTTCATCATAGAAAATGTTTTGTTGATGTTTTCTACCCAGAATTAGACCTTTTTTCCTGTGGGTTTTTTTTCCCCCATTTATTTCTGTGTTGATTCCCCCACTTAGTGTTATGACTAAGATGCAGAGATACACACACCTAGATGGTTGCGGTCCCGGACGGCAGATGGTAGCTACAGACCTGATAGAAACCAGTTCACGTGAGATGTGGTGCGCGGGCTGCTGTTGGTGGAAACTCGCCCGCTGTGGAGCCTCCTCCAAACGCCTGTGTAGTGATGCTCATTGGCAGAGGGGAGAGTGCCCGGGGCTGCGACCAATCCACGGCTGCCCAGCCAGGCAACCCGAAGATCTCAAATTTCACACATAGGAGTTCATTTCAGGGACTGTTTTCACAGAGGTTGCTCTTTTTGGTGGGGATAAAGAGTAGGTTAACAATATCGTTTTCCCGCAGTGCTCAGGAAGTAAGGGCCGGTCAGCAGGATGGGTTGCTGGCCCCGTGGCTGGTTTTGCAGCAGTGTGGCCTAACAGAGAGGGCTGGGTTCAGTGGGCTTGGGACAGCTGGATTCCAGTCTCAGCTCTGTGCAGACTTGGGGTTTCTTTACCCACCATAAAACATGAGCGCTGAGCAAGAATCAGTGTACTTTGTAAACATTTATGTGGGCTGAAAACCGGAGGGTGGATGGCAGTGGCACACAGCTGAAAACTTCAATGAGGAAACTATACTCTTGATGTAACAATGCCGGCCTCCTGTGAGAGCTCTGGCAGCAGATCTGAGAAGGGCTGAGAGCGAAAGGAGGCACGAATTGGCACGGGTTAGCTACAGGGATGAAGAGGGAGATGCCGGGCTGAGTGCCCAGACAGAGAAGCTCAGGGTGGGGTGGGGTGGGGGGAAGTCGGGAGCTGTCTGGGGAAGAAGTCCCCACCCTGCCAGTCCTAGGGGGACCCCAAGTCCTTGAGAGAAAGCGGTAGCGTTTCATACCTTCAAAAACACTTGGCCCACTGAGGAAGGTGCTTATTCTTGAGAAAGCTGAAGTGAGTAGACTCAGTTTCCTGAGTGACACGCCAGCCAGAATTGGGAGTTCAACCAGTGTCACTTCATCTGTGACAACTGTTCTTACAGCTGAAAAGTGACTTCACTTACAAGTGACACATAGAAACACCTATGGCCTTCCAATGTAAGCAAGAAGCCTGTCCTCATCAGTGACGAAATGGCCTGAGCCAGCCAATAGACTTGCAATCTATACTTTTTCCAAGATCGTTTTAACTTTTGAGATAACTTCAGAGTTACCGAAAAGTTGCAAGAATAGCACAAAGAATGCCTGTGTGCCCCTCACCCGGATTCGCCAAAGACTAACCTTCCCGCGTTTGCTGCCCCTCGCGCAGTCCTGTGTGTGCACTTTCTCCCCCCCACACCCTCTCTCTCTGTGTGTGTAGGAATTTTTCCAGAACCTTCTGCAGCTATGTTGTTTTCCTTTTGTCCCTAAATCCTTTGATGTCTATTTGCTGAAAACACCTCACCAGAAACACAGTGTAATGATCACAGCCAGGAAACTGACATGCATACCATTCGCTGGTCTCATTCAGCTTTTCCCCGGTATTTCTATAATGCGCTTTATGAGCAGAAGGAAATCCCAGACCATGTGCTGTCGTCCTCTGCCGTGTCTCTTTCGCCTGCTCTGTCTGGCTTGGCAGCGTTTACGCTTAGGAAGGAGACTGCTCTTCTGTCGAAGGCTCCCAGGTTTGGGTGCGTCTGCCATGGCTTCTCCTTGGGATCCAGCAGACAGTTTTAGCGGGAGCCCATTGGAGGCGGCGGCACGTTTTATGCTGAGTTACGTCAGGAGCCCCACGGCGTCTGTGTGTCGCACTACTCGTGATGTTAATGGATGCCTTGAGTAAGGTTTCCCCACTGTGAACTGACTGCGTGTTTTTTCTCTCTAATGAGTCTCATGTGGGAGGATGCTTTGAAACCATGTGACTATCCTATTATTATTCACAATTTCGCCCCCTAGTTCCAGCATCCATTAATGACTCTTGCCTGAAACAATCATAATGACAGTTGCTAAATGGTGCCTTTCTGATTCCATTGCTCCTTCTGCGTTTGTTAGCTGGCATCTACGGTGAGGCCATTTTCCTTTACTCCCATTTAATTATTCACTTGTTTATATATGTTTGTATATCAGTGGGAATTCATAGATTATTAGTATTATTTTTGAGAGAGGTCTCATTCTGTCACCCAGGCTGGAGTGCAGTGGTGCAATCTCAGCTCACTGTAACCTCTGCCTCCCAGATTCAAGCGATTCTCCTGCCCCTGCCTTCTGAGTAGCTGGGCTTACAGGCATGCCACTACAGCTGGCTAATTTTTGTATTTTTTTAGTAGAGACAGGGTTTCGCTGTGTTTGCCAGGCTAGTCTCAAACTCCTGACTTCAAATGATCCGCCTGCCTCGGCTTCGCAAAGTTCTGGGATTACAGAGGTGAGCCACCATGCCCAGCCCATAGATTATTATTATTATTTTTTGAGACGGAGTTTTGCTGCTGTTACCCAGACTGAAGTGCAATGGCATGATCTCGGCTCACTGCAACCTCTGCCTTCTGGGTTCAAGCAATTCTGCTGCCTCAGCCTCCCGAGTAGCTGGGACTACAGGCACGCGCCACCATGCCCAGCTAATTTTTGTGTTTTTAGTAGAGACGGGGTTTCACCTTGTTGACCAGGATGGTCTCGATCTCTTGACCTCGTGATCCACCCGCCTCGGCCTCCCAAAGTGCTGGGATTATAGGTGTGAGCCACTGCACCTGGCCTAGACTATTATTTTAATCAGTGATTATATCCTTTATTACGATTTATTTTGGTCAAACTATCACAGATTTGGTCAGCAGGAGGCCCTTGGAGCTGGCTGTTTGTCCTTTGCCATGTCTCTGTAATAAAGAGATACAGTCCATCATGCTTAGAGCACGTTCATTACTTTATGGCACAAGGAGATGCCCCAGGCTCACCTTGTACATTTCTTGGCCCCAGACCTGGAGTCAGCTGTTCCTCCAAAGCATGCTGTTCCTTTTAGTGGAGAATGGCGGAGAATTTAGAAACCAGGATCTGGGTGCTAGAGGCGCTCACTTCTGCTGGCGGGTCATAGCTTCTGGGTCTTTTCAGTAGACAAACGCAGGAAACAGATGTGTGGGTGTGGATGTGGGTATAGACACACACATTCACATGTTTATATGTCACACATGACAGATGCTTGTAAGTGTAGATATACATGGATATGCACGTGTATATATATATATATATATATGCATGCACCCACCACATCTCCACGTCTGTACCTGTCTATGTATTAAAAGCCATGAGAACTAACACCTCCAACATCACAGCATTATTCTTTAAAAGCTGATGAGGAAATTTAGTAAAATAAACTATGAAGAAAACAATTGGTAAGCTCTAACGTAATGTATCAGTTACGTCTTAGGTATTCATTGCATTAAGGTATTGTTAAGATGCTTGGGTGAAATGGTTGTAGTGGCATGGACATGGACCACTCATGGGTACATTCTCAGTACAGATTTTGTTTTAGGGAGGACACAAGACCTGTGAAGAGAAGACATTTGTGACCTTTTTTAAAAATCCAAGTATTCAGATCATTTTAATTTGGCAAATGTTGATTATGCTTTTCCTCTCCATAAGGTACTTAATGGAAATTCCTTCCCTTTGTCCTAATGGCCTAATTGTATACTGGTTAGGAATGCTTTGCTATATGGAAAATACCACTAGCCAATTTCTCAACATAAAAAAGTAGCTGCATTTTTGTTAACATTCCTTTCTTTAGAGAGGCCTTCATACACGGCATGGAATATTTACAATTACTCATATTTTGATCCGTGTTAAACTTGTCAAGGTTATAATTATAAAACCCAATTTTCTTCAAGCCTTTAAGCTCAACTTAGAAATCTTTATAAAGAATTTTTATACGCAATAAAATTTATTTTTTCTTCACCATTCAGTTAACTCATAAATTTGATAGCTTAATTCCTCCTAAATTTTAACCATTATTTACATATTTGATTAATCAAAATTTTTAAACATTTGAAATGCCATTAAAAATACAACCAATTTTCTAAATCACTTTAAAACAGTGGCTTAAAGCTGGGCATGGTGGCTCACACCCGTGATCCTAGCACTTTGGGAGGCTGAAGTAGAATTGCTTGAGCCCAGGAGTTTGAGACCAGCCTGGGCAAGATGTTGAGACCCTGTCTCCACACATAAAAAATAAAAAAATTAACTGGGCTTGGTGGTGAGCACCTGTAGTCCTAGCTACTTGTGAGGCTCAGGCAGGATTGCTTGAGACCAGGAGTTGGAGGCTGCGGTGAGGTCTGATCACACTACTGCAATCTGGCCTGGGTGACAGAGCAAGACGCTGTCTCAAAAAAAAAAAAAAAAAAAAAAAAAAGAAAGATGGCTTCATATCGTAATGAACATAGTCTTAAAGATATATTTCAGACTTGCAAACTAAGCAGACCAAATAGGGAGGTATCACACATCTTAACAAATGGTGTGCCCAGAGCAGCCCAGTGACTGCGGAGTGTTCTTTCCCCTCTGGAAACACAGCTGATAGAAAAGGAAATCACTTTTTTGTGTCATCTAATGGAGAAACTAAATGACCATGTAGGGGCTCACCCAGGGCCCCTGGTATGAAAAGGTGTGAGGCCGGCGGGGGCCTGGAGCTTGGTTGTGCTTCCACAGCCAGGTCAGGCGGCAGCGGCTGGGGCGGGCTCCCTCTCATGGTCAGGAGCCGTCACCAGCATCACGAGGCTCCTCAGCAGCTTCCTTCAGTGGGGGTGTAATGAATCCCATCAATATTCCTGTCTTACACCGTAGTGCCCTTCCCCACGATAACTGCAAGGCCTTTTAGGACCTCCAAGTTTCATTCACCTTTGGTGTAATTGGGATGCTCCTTCCCGAGCAGAGGCCTCCTGTGAACGTGACATGGATTCCATTGCCCTGTCGATGGTTGCGTCTTCCTTCTCGTTTCTTCTTAGGGACGTCATGTTTCATCACCTTCCCTATCACGTGGTCTTTGTTTACATTCATGAAACTGTAAAGATCTTTAGTAAATACCTTTTTTCCACCTCCACAGGCATCTTCCTCTGAAGACATGGGCAGGTGGATTGGGATTCTACTTGCAGAGACGGGGTCGTCCACAGACCCGGGAGCTCTGCACTATGACTACATTGACGTGGAAATGTCTGCAAATGTCATCCAGACAGCCAAACAGACCTTCTGGTAAGATCCACCGCCACCTGAAACGGCGCCGCACTTCAGTAACGAGGTTTTCCCTCATTGCCTGACTTAGTGTTTGTGTGAGGATATAGTCTCAGAAGAAAAACTCAGGACTTTCCCTTTTGCATTATCTTAATTCAAATTTTACAGAAATGCTTTTGTCATGTCAACCCACTGGATTTCCTGTTTGAGCAGTGTGTGGCAAACTTGCATGAAGGACTAGATAGGAAATATTTTTGGTTTCGTGGGCCAGACATTTCCTGTTAATGACCGACCACTCGGCTCCCGTTGCAGCCAGACACTGTACATAAACAATGAGTGTGTCTGCGTTCTAATAAAACTTTATTGGCAACAACAGGCAGTGGCCTGGATTTGACCGCTGGTTTGCTGACCCCTGTGTTAGAGGAACAGTTCTACAAAGCAGAAATGATTCTACATACTGCTGTAACGAGGACTGAGTTTTCAAAGCCATCAGTCAAGTACTTTGTAAATATAAATTCTGATGTTTATAAAATGCTGCAATAATGTATAAATGAACTGTGAGTATTTCTTTAACATAATGATGGCAGAGAGATTTATAGCAGCAGTTCTTGGTGTGGTCTACAGACCCCTGGGGATATTTGAAACCCTTTCTGGCAGTCTGCAGGGTTATTTTCATGATAATGCTAAGACATTATTTTCCTTTCCCACTGTCTGGACATTTGCATTAGTGATAATTGGCTGGCACCTTAGCACAGATAGTGGCACCTCCCTGTATTAGTAATCATTGCCACTGCCACGCGCTTGCAACAGTAAAAGAAAGTGCTCCTTTCACTTGAGATGTCCTTGAGGAAGCAGGAAAAGTTACGACTTTTTCTGTAAAGGACTGGATAGTAGATACTTGTATGAAGTCTCTGCAGTCCCTGCGTTTTTCCTGTTCTGTGTGGCACGACGGGAGGCCACAGCGAGCATGCCTGAGCATACTGTGACAGTGGTCCTATTGAGGAACAGCTCTCAGACCAGCGAGTTGCTCATAGAACTGGCTGCATTAATTTTTTTAAAAATTTTTACTTGAAAAAGCAACTGACCATCCGTGGTTATTTGCATGCAGGCATTTGCAGATGCTTTCTTGAAAATGAGCTGGCTATACCCATCATCTCTAGGCAAACACTTGGCAGTGTTCCATGCTTGTGATACATTGAAGCTTTCCTTAGAAGTTAGAATTCTGGAAAATTCGCATCTGCCGCTGTGAGCCTGCCAGCTTCTCAGCACCTGCAGACGCCTGCTGAGACCTGTAGTCCTATCAGTGAGCAGTTTTGTTGATGTGTAATGAAGGGCGGCAGCGTTTGAAAGAACTGCAGAAGTCGTGCTGGGAAAAGATCTACTCCCAGTGCAAGAGAAACTACTGGATTTTAATGTAAGCCGACCGACCTGATCTCTGACTCCGCATTGCAGTTAGCGGTAAGAAACCGCCACTTGCTGCATTTCGGTGCAGTAGCAACGAAGTGTGTCGCCAGCTCTCGGGAAAGCAGTTGAAATGTGCCCCACTTTTCCGGCTTACATTTGTTTGAGGCTAGATTTGCTTCACATACTTCAACCAAAAGAGCATTTTGTGACAGACTGAATGCAGGAAGCAGGTGTGAGAACCCAGGTACCTTCTTTAAGCTGGACAGCAACTGGGTTTACAGGCGGGTGAACAATGCCACTTTCTGTTGATTATTGGGGTTTTGTTGTTGTTGTATTTTTGATTAAGGGTCTTGCTCTGTTGCCCAGGCTGGAGCGCAGTGGCACAATTACGACTCATTGCAGCCTCGACCTCCTGGGCTTAAGGGATCCTCCCATCTCAGCCTCCCAAGCAGCTGGGACTACAGGCATGTGCCACCATGCCTGGCTAATTTTTTTTTGTTTTTGTTTTTGTTTTAAGAGACAGGGTCTTATTATGTTGCCAAGGCTGGTTTCAAATTCCTGAGCTCAAGCGATCTTCCCACCTTGGCCTCCCAAAGTGCTAGGATTACAGGCATGACCCATGATGCCACTTTTAAGTGAAGAACAATGAATATACGTCTCAGGTTTAACTTCAGATACGGCAGGTAGTAGGTAGAGTATCTTGGTTTTGGGTCCTGCTATGGTATTTACTAGTTAGAAAAATTTGGACAAGTCATTCATTACCTGTTAGCGCCTCTGCTGCCTTCTGGAGAAAATAGAGAGGGTGGGCGAGATCATCGCGGAAGCTTTCAGCTCTGGCGTCTTTGACCCCTTGGCTCTGCATCTGTTTCTCTCATCCTTAGAGAGTCTGGACTGGGGTGAGGGAAGTGAATGAAAACAAGGCTGGTCATGAATTCCATCAGCAAATGAGGATAAACATCCAGACAGCTGCTGGCGGACCTGCCAGTGCTGAGATGACGCACCCTTTCGAGTGTGAAGAAGCTGGGCTGGAATGCCTGGTGTTTAATGTGACCACCACCAGCTAGTCTTTCCACACAGGTGGCATTTACGGGGAGTTGGAGCAGTCTTCCTTTGTATATTGAATGGCGAATGGACATTGATTTAATGCTTAGCTCGGACGTTCTGGGCCTAAGAAATAGTTCTCAAAGTGAAGATAACTTGGCCCATTTTAGGACTGAGGCCGCTTGTTACACCCAGCCAAGGTCAGTAGCCTTGACAGGTGGAATTGGTCTTGCACAGATGGTCCATCAAATCCCCAGTAGCGTGGAGGTTTCTGCAGGACAGACCTTTTGTGCACAAATCAGGACAGATGCAGTCCAGTACGTACTGTTCCATTTATCCTCATTATTGCTTAAATGCGTGCTTTCTAATCAGCAAAACATAGGTAAATTATGATGATTCTCCTATTTATTAAATACCACGCAGTAAATAAAGCACATTTAAAGTGTTTTTAAAGAGATATCATATCCGTGAATCTAGCTTTGCAAAAGTCCAACCAGACTGACATAAAAGTGGATATGGATGTGAACTGTGTTTGTCGGGAAGATGCTAGAGTGCTATGAAACCCTCTCCTACGTCCACATGTGATTTCCAGTGCAATCGGCAAAGCGATCAGCACATGTCAGGGAAATAAAATAGGTGCCCTAGAATACCACTTGGCTTTCAGTTTAGAAATGAGTAGAGTATCAATTTAAACCAAACGTGGCAAGGTCGCATTTTTGAGAAAGGAATGCCGATCATAATACTAAAAATATTTATTAAACACATGCAGGTAATGAATTTATGGCTGCAGGAATCTTTTCAATCTAGTACCTCATTCAAGTCTTCATAGGAGATGTCAGTTAGCAATAAAGTTTATTTGCAAGTTTTCCAGGCAGACTTTCCTGTAAAACTCACGAGAGATGAGATGTGACAAGGAAACAGTGTCCAAAATATGGTCACCTGCCAGCTCCAAGATGAAATTCCAAGATGAAATCTTTGTCTTTTATAGAAACTGGCAGCCAGCTAATGAGTCTTTTCAAGGTTCTTTGGAGAATGGTCTTTGCGTTGTGCATGACTAGGATGAAGCAGCAGTAATATATTTTGAAAGGAGGAAAGTGAAAGATGATCGTGGGGAGTGTCTCAGGAAAGCGGCACATTTAGGAGCCTTAGCAATGTAAACAGTTGAGACATATGTTCCTGAAAGCCTGTTTTGAAATGAGATGCAGAGATTATATAATACAAGGAAAGTGCTCCGAAGTTTCCCCGAAACTCTCTTCTCGTCCCTCTCAGGAGTCCATCAGGAAGCGGGAGTGAGGATGCAGAGCATGGAAGGCAGGGCTGGCATGGCGAGGGCGGCGAGTGGGCAGATGCGCGGATGGGAGGCGGTCCTCTCGGCCACCCTCTCCTCTGAGCTCCAGGAGCTTATTCGGAAATAGCTCCCTAGACTGTCTCCTGGTTTCTATGTGACGAGTGGCCTGTGGCCTCTTACTTCACTTCCACTTCTGCCTTTGGTTACAAATCCTATTGTGGAAAGACATCAAGTGGAAGACAGAGGCCTCGTGTTTAGTCGTGACCCCACACCCTGCCCTCTTGAGGGCCAGGCAGAGTTGTCCTCATGGACCAGGTCCCTCTCTGTAGGGTGAGGGGTGACTAGCTGCTGGCTGTGGCCTCCTCCACCTGGGACATTCTGTGTGCCTGTGACACCTCATCACTGTGCTCCCAAGTCCTGCCAGTGAGCCTGTCAGAGGCATCCTGCAGTGGCTCTTCCCAGCACAGAAGCAGGAGTGGAGCCACCCAGGGCCTCTGTTCTGACCCCACACTATGTCCCTGCTGTAGCAGGGCGAGTGCAGGCCACAGGCTCAAAACCGAAGATGCCGGGGAAGGAGAAAGCCTCAGTATGGCCAGGGCACAGGGGAGGGGATGGTCCCCGTGGCCAGGCATTATTCATCCATCCATTTATTGCCTCTCACTGACAAAGAGCATACATAGCGCTGTTTCCCCAAAAGCCCTCCAATGAGGCATTTAATTAGAAAACCTTAAATACGTATTTTTAAAAATGAAAATCTATTACTGCAGAACTCTTTAATGTTCAAGTTTTGCTGTGCCTTTCCTTCTTATATGTTCTCTTTTTATTCATTGTCTTTTCCTACATATACTTTTAAGTATTTTAAGTTACATTCTTAGAAGCAAAGGAAAAAGTTTATAAATTACAATTGAAAGAATGTGTCCAGGCAGCAAGCCGTGCATGGCGTCCCTCCCCAGAAGGGGGCGCACGCGCGCTCTGTGCGGAGCCTTTTCCACGGCCCACGCTGCTGAAGTCCAGCCCAGAACCGCAAGCCGGGGTTCTCCCGTGGCTGCGCTGCCAGAGGTACGCCAAAGAGGCAGACTTCACTCCCCTGTGTTTACACTGTGTTTTCTTAAGCTGGTGATCATAGAAACGCAGCATTCTCTGAAATACCCCCACTAGCAGGAAATGCTGTCGGGGCGGGGGGGGGGGTCTCTTCCCTGGGTGTTTCCATTGCTAGACCTGATGCGTGGCTTCAGAAGCTGCTGAGCCTCTAGGCACCTGCACCTGCGGACCCCTGCGTATGCTGGTGTGGTCCCCACACTTCTGAGGCCGACCCTCCAGTGGGGAGAGCAGGCAGGACATGGATGCGGGGTGGTGGCCCAGACCTGGAGGGGAGGGAGGAGTGCTGTGGGGCTGTCGGGGCGGGCTCCCCTGGGGGGCAGCACCCATGCGGAGACCCGGATACGAAGGGTGTCTGGAGAGGAGTTTGGCAGGCAGAGGGGCTGGGGGAGCAGAGAGAGCCAGGGGAGCCCCAGAATACCAAGGAGACTGACCCAGCTCTGGAAGCCAAGGCGTAAGGACGGAGCAGAGACCTCGGCCCTGGGCAGCACCTTATGACTTCAGAAGCACCTGGGGGTGTTGGGCAGAGGCTGGCATGGCCGGCCTGCCCTTCTTAAAGGGAGTGAGCAATTCTCTCATTGCAGGCTCCACAATGTTGGGTCTTGCCTTTGGCCACTAGATGGGCAGGTCTTTCTCACACCAAGCAATTCTCCAGATTTCTGCAGGCACGAGTGGGGTGTCCTAATACATGAACTTAACCCTTAATGGTCTTCCAGGAGGCAGCGTCAGGTCCCCCAGTTAAGGGCCCACCCCACTTCAGATGCCAGCCCCAGGTCCAGGTTGTCACCCGTGCTTCTGACCAACGGGATGTGAGTTGGAGGTCCCCATGAGTTCAGTCATTGCTAGATGCTCACAGAACTCGGGAAGAGTTTGCTTACCGGATTACTGTGAAGAGATACAGCTCAGAGGCAGCGAAGGAAGAGGTGCACTGGGCAAGGCGTATGGAGCGCAGCGCTCCTGTGCCCCTGCTGTGCACCACGCTTCTGACACTGCCACACGCTCACAGCTCAGAAGCTTGAGCTGGGAACCTTGTCCTTTTGGGTTTTTATGGAAACTTCAGGCCCTAATCACGGGGTTGGTTTCCCTGGCAACCAGCCTTCATTGTACTCTTCATGTAGGAAATTGCGGGAGTTTTAGGAGCCCTGACCAGGAACTTGGGACAAAGACCAAAATATATTTTTATTATGCCGCAATATCACACCTTCTAAAGGACTTCTCTGGCCACTGTCAGCGGGTCTCAGAAGTTGAGGGAGTTTCAGGGAAGAGGTGAGAATGAATTGTGTGGGGTGGCAGTGGTGCTGAGTGAGTCCTGAGAACTCCATACACATCTGTTGAATAATTGCTCATCAGCGATTCTCCTGCCTCAGCCACCCGAGTAGCTGGGATTACAGGCATGCGCCACCATGCCTGGCTGATTTTATATTTTTAGTAGAGATAGAGTTTCTCCATGTTGGTCAGGCTGGTCTTGAACTCCCGACCTAAAGTGATCTGCCCACCTCGGCCTCCCAAAGTGCTGGGATTATAGGCGTGAGTCACCACACCTGGCTGATTTTATATTTTTAGTAGAGATGGGGTTTCTCCATGTTGGTCAGGCTGGTCTTGAACTCCCGACCTCAAGTGATCCACCCACCTCGGCCTCCCAAAGTGCTGGGATTATAGGTGTGAGTCACCACGCCTGGCTGATTTTATATTTTTAGTAGAGATGGGGTTTCTCCATGTTGGTCAGGCTGGTCTTGAACTCCCGACCTCAAGTGATCCACCCACCTCGGCCTCCCAAAGTGCTGGGATTACAGGCATGAGTCACCATGCTGCCTGGCCCAACTTTTAGCTTTGCAGCCCATGTTATCCTCTTGGATGTAACACACTTATGAAAGAAGCATGTGTTCCAATAAAACTTTATTACCAACACAGGCTGTGAGAGGAGCGAGAGTCGGATGATGACCGAAATGCTTGCCATTTCTGAGTGCCTGTTACTTGCGGGCCTTGCCGTGTGTACTTAGCGTTGGTTATTGGCGATCTCTGTCGCCATTCTGCGGAGTACGTGCCCTCCTAATCTCATAGCACAGTCCCTCCAACACATCCTCTCATTTCCGCCGAGCTTCTGTCTAGTATTTCTTCTCTGCCCCGTGACTGCTGACATAGCGTTGGACAGAGTCAGAACTCACTGAAGACCTGACTGATTGGAGTAAGAGGTGTCAGGTTATGGATTTAACGCATTTCCTTTCTTTCAGTTTCATGAACAGGCGTGTTCTATCTGCTAACCCATATCTAGGGGGCACGTCCAACGGCTATGCCCACCCCAGTGGGACGGCGCTTCATTACGACGACGTCCCGTGCATCAACGGCTCGGTGAGTACCCGTTTGCTGGAGTCATAGTTTTGTTAGAAGTGAGGCTGTGAAAATTCTGTGCCTCAGTTCCCCTGGTTTCAGTTTATGAGGTCGGCTTTTTAAGGCTCTGACGCAAGCAGAGACTCCATGTCATCTCTCTGCTCCTGGTTTCTGACGTGCTGTTCATCTGAAGCTGTATTTGAACAAGTGGATCGTTTGAGACTAGTAGACAGTTTGCAATTTAATGTCACTGTCCTTTTTCTGTTGGTGTTGACGTAGTGTCCCAATCTGTGGCCCAGGCTGGAGTGCAGTGGTGCAGTCAAGACTCACTGTAGCTCAACCTCCGCAGCTCAATGGATCCTCCCACCTTGGCCTCCCAAGTAGCTGGGAGCATCGGCACACACCACCACACCACACTCATTTGTTTATTTTTAGTAGGGGTGGGATCCCCCTGTATTGGACAGGCCAGTCTTGAACTCCGGGGCTCAGGTGAGTCTCTCGCCTCAGACTTTCAATGTGTTAGGATTACCAGAGCGAGCCACCGTGCCCGGCCTAATGTCACTCCCATTAATTAGACTTGTCAGCCCACTAAAATACCGACTAAAGGAATGTATCCGAGCAATGCTTGGGCAACTTGTTAAATCAAACATAGCACAGGGTAAGTTGCCAATGAGTAGTTATCTCCCGATAGGATTAAAACACTGAGAAATCCCCTCGTGTGCTCATCTCACAACCGTGTACTGAGCATCCGCTCCGGTCCAGGCACGGTGCCCAGCCCTGAGCATTCAGAGGTGAGGCCGTCACAGTCAGCAGATGGATGAAGGAGGCTTGAGAAACCAACATGCCACGCATCGCCCAGTACTGGTGGGTTTGAAATTGGCATCTATGTTAAGATGGTTTTCAAAGGTAGACACAAAGTATATTTATTATTATTTTTTCCAGCCTTGGAAGGTATTTCAGACTTTTTTCTTGCTGTTTTGCTTCTCCGATCGTCTCTCCAATATTCTGGTGAATGTTCTCAGTCAGCCCCGGCATTGTAAATTATGTAGCTGCCCACAGCAGGAATCAGGAGACAATGGCCTCTTTGAGGGAGGAGCAGGGCTGAGGACCCCCAGTGCTCAGGATCATAAATAGACTGAAGGCTGTTTATGCTGGGGTCAGAAGCGGCTGGCCCATTCCTCAAGAGCCGTGATGGACGCAGTGTGTCCATGGGGCCCAGTCACCTTCCCACTCGTCGCCACCTCCTGCCCCTCTGTACCTGCCGTCCGAGGCGGAGAGGTTTCAGGGCCCATCAGTGCCCTCCTTTTCCTCAGCCAGTCCTCCCTGGAGTGTCTCTGGGTGCCCACAGTCACCATGGTGCTCCACCCCCGCACAGGGGGCTTGTGCAAGTTCTTCCCATTAAGACGGATCCATGGCGGCCTGGGGAGCAGGCTCTCAGGCTGGTTCCTGCCCTGTATTACAGCCCCTGAGCTGTTTTCTCAGTGGGACCCGCTCTTCTGCCTCCATTTGCTCTGTGTCACCCCAGTGTCTCTTGATGACACAGGCTTATCCCTGGGTTTAGACGCCAGTTACCACACTCATCTGCATCCTGAGAACCATCCACTTCTCTTGGCCTGTCTATCCCGTCCCACCCAAAGACTCTTTCATCCGCCTTTTCCTTCACTGTGTCTCTCCACGTGCACCCCTTACACATGAACCTGTGACTGAGCCGGATGCCGTTGAGACCCTGTGGAACCACGCATGGGATCATCTGGCTCCACCCAGCCCATTTCATTCAGACCTTGATGACACTATCCAGGCCACCCACAGGAATGAGTGTTCTTTAGGTCATTGGCAGCTTAATCTACTAGAAACAGAGGCCTGCCATTCCGTGTATCGCTGGACTGGCGACAGTTGCCTTTAGAACGTAACACTGTACATGTATGTGGCTTCCTTCCTCTGCTTGGCCCCTTCCTGAAACTCTTTTCTGTGTGTTCGGCTCTGTTACCAGCTCATCTCTTTTTGGCGGGCCTCATTTTTAGGTTTTTAAAGTTCATATTTATAGCCCGGTGTGGTAGTTCACGTCTATGATCCCAGCACTTTGGGAGGCAGAGGTGGGCAGATCACTTGAGACCAGGAGTTCGAGACCAGCCTGGCCAACATGGCAAAACCTTGTCTCTAAAAATGTAAGAATTAGCCGGGCTTGGTGGTGGACATCTGTGATCCTAGATACTCGAGGCGGAGGCAGGAGAATCACTTGAGCCTGGGAAGCGGAAGGTGCAGTGAGCTGAGATTTTACCACTGCACTCCAGCCTGGGCAACAGAGCAAGACTCCATCTCAAAAAAAGTTCATATTTATGACCAAATATCTGGCACCATAGCACTGTTTCAGCTTAAGTAGTGTTTACTCATTCACCGTTGCCCGGTGCTTAGACTGAGTGAAAGTCTGCACACCCACGCCTTAAACTAGAAACTTCCGTGAGGTCTCTGGAGGTGTTTTTCTGCGTCTTCCATACGACTGAATCTTTGGTATTTTGGGAAAATGATAGTCTCGTCTAGACCGTTTTAATAACTCTGGACAAATATATGCCGGGTTGTCATTATGAAACTCTCACATCCGAGTTTATCCGCAGGCACCGTTATTTTTACATCACAAAAACAGACGCATGGAAGTGACTGTGGAGGAATACAGATGCTCCCACTGTGGAGTTTTCAGCCTTTCTATTTTATAACGAAAGGCTGTAATTACCGTCTGGCGGGAAGGACTGTGCAGGAAGACTATAAACACAGGGTAAAAGAACATACTAGAGAAATTAACGTGGCCTTTCTTGTGATGCCAGGCAATTTCTAAAGACCCTGAAGGCTGAAAAGGCCTTGGCTGCGGTTATCCATGTTGGGGTTGAGGTAATACTTTAATGTCCGTGCTCTCAGACTCCTCTGCCCCATGCAATGGCATGTACCTATTTTAGTCCTTTGTTAGAGATTTTCTGCTAAAAGAATACCATGACATCAATGAGATTTGGGAGCATCTAACGTTCTCTGAGAATTCGATGTCTCTTTTCACAGGCTGTTTGGGTTGTGGCACTTTCTCCAGGTATACAGAGCAGGGCACAGAGGGTGGGTGTTGACAGATCCCATAGGACTTAGGTCACTGACTCCAGCACAGGGACTTGGAGGAGCCCGCAGGGTGGTCTGCTGTCCCCAGAAGGAGCCCGAGGCTTAGAGGCAGCACCGTGCGGGGATGAGCGCGGCCCTTCCCTCCGCTCTGCCACTCACCGGCTCCAGGCTTCCTTTCTTCCATCTCTGCTTCCATTTTCCCCTTTCCCAGATGACTGTGAGACGAAGTCAGCTTCCAGGGCGAGGGCAGTGCTGTGAAGAGCGTGGGGGGCTCTGCTTGGACCGCGGCGCCTTTGCGCACAGCAGAGCCCAGACCCTGGGCCCACGCTCCCTTCCGCCTGCACATTCACATCCTGCGCTGGGGACTTCTCTAAAGAAGGAGATACCAGATGACGTTTCTTTCTCTTCTTTAAAAGACAGGACCAAACGACAGCTTCACATTCCCATTCTGGGAATGGTTTAAGGAAACAAAAATTTCCATATGGCTTCAGAAGTCCAGTGCTTTTGCATCAGTCTGCATGCCTGTGTTGGGTGTGTGTGTGTGTGTGTGTGTGCTGGGGGTGCGCGTCTTATGGTGACAGCTGCAGTCTGTGCAGAAGGGTGTTGGGATGCTGGCGCCATGCTAAATGCTGTGCTATTAATAAATGACATCTCGCTATGCTGAAAGCTGCTGTTTTCTGTGTCCAGGTCACTAACCACAAAGCTGTGTGTGTTGCAGTGGGAACCGGAAGATGGCTTTCCTGCTTCCTGCAGCAGAGGCTTGGGAGAAGCGGTGCTTTATGATAACGCAAGCCTGTACGATAACTTGCCGTCTCCGAAAATCTTTGCCCGCTACTCTCCTGCTGACAGAAAGGCCTCTAGGCTGTCTGCTGACAAGCTGTCCTCTAACCACTACAAATACCCTGCCTCCGCTCAGTCTCTCACTAACACCTCTTCTGTGGGGAGGGTGTCTCTCGGGCTCAGCTCACAGGTACAGCACCTTCTTCTGTAAGATTCTAGAGCCACCTTTAAGTCACATTGCCCCAACAGTTTCTCAACTTGTAGTAAATGGGACTCAGCAAAGGCAAAGCGTAATTTTTTTTTTCTCAACTGGAATATAATTTGCAACCTGACTGCCAGGGAACTGGTGAGATATTTCTCACGAGCTCGTGGTCTGTCTAAGCACTGTTTCTTTGCCCACATATGACTTTCCTTTTGTTCTTGGAAATTCCCCAGTGAATTTTGTGAGTTATGTTAACTAAAGGCAGAGAATTTAAAAGAAACGGGTAATAAAACTTTCCGGAAGATTCTTGAACTGCAAGGTTCTTTTATATGTTTCCATTACACGTAATGAGGAAGGGCTGACTCCATGTAGTCATTGCTTTTGATGTTTAAACAGGACATGGGATATTCAGAGTACGGTAAGGGTTGTCCACGGTAAGTCTAGAGGTATACTCCGAAAAACTGGACGATGATAACAAGGACGTTTGTTGACCACTGGACGATACTAGCCTTGATGTTGAACTGGGGTCCATCGCACACCCTGTGTTTATGGCAAGCTAACATTTCAGAGTAATTTTGTGTGGTTAGGCCTTTTTTGTTTTGTTTTGTTTTAAAGAGATGAAGTCTCACTGTGTTGCCCAGGCAGGACTTGAATTCCTGGGCTCAAGTGATTCTCCTGCCTTGGCCTCCCAAGTAGCTGGGACAACAGGCGCGTGCCACCATGCCCTGCTTATCATGCATCTTTAACCTAAGAATTTGTTACGCTTTGCCTGAAGACTTCAGCCAACATATGTAGGAATGTGAACATAGCAAATGGGCATGTTTGAATATGTGTATTTCTCTCCATTCTTTGGGTAATCTTAAGAAAATCATGACCCAGGTGAAATTGCAGAGTTGTAGATAGTGGTGACTTTACAGCACTAGCTCCCTGTAGGGCGGCTTCCTCAGAAACCAAATGCCCAGGTGTGTGTTGGTTTTCGATTTTGAATGACGGTTGTTCAGATCCCATCCCTGGGGATTCCCGTTCAGTGCGTCTGAGGGGCCCGGAGCTGAGTAAAGCCTCAGGGCTTCTTACAAGGACTTACGCCAGAAAGTGGGCAGGTTATGTGTTGTGTTTATTGAGTAAATGTGTTTCTGTGTTTCTGCCTGTTTTTTTGTTGCCCTGAGAGCCGCCTTAGGTAAAACCCTGCAACACAGCTTTCCTTCCTGCACACTCGGGTCGTCCCCACGTTCGTTGGGAACCGTGTGATACGTGGTTCCCGTGGGGAGTGGTTACGTTTGTTCCCTTTTGTTTTGCTCTTGTTGAGGCAGGAAACACTTGTGCAGGTTAAATTGCAGGGCCTCTGTGCTTCCTGCCCTCCTTTGGTCATTTTAATGGGAACCTATTGTTCAAGCACTTACACGTCCTCTCTCCTGGACTGCAGGTCATCTGAACATTTCAGGAACCCTGTGGGGACGGGTAGCTAGCTTTACCTTTTTAAATAATCAAGTCGGGGCTCAGAAAGTTTAAATAACTTGCTTGACAGCTCCTAAATGATGGAGCCAGAATTTGGAGCTGGATCTCTGTGTCTCCCAAAAGTTGAGGCCTGCAACAGAAGGAAATGTAGTATCATGGAAAAAAGCATGGGCGTGGATGCTGGAGTGAGTCTTCGCCATCACGCTGAAGAATTACACAACTAAGCTGCATGGAAGGGCACGCCAGCAGAATGCAGAACTCGCGGGGCTGTGGCAGTCCCTAGAGTAGAGCACTGTCTCCCTCTTTCAGAAACCTGTAGTCCGTGCGAGCTCAGTTTCCATGTTACTGCTGCGGGTGTTGTGCTTCCCTTGCCCGTTCGGATGTGTTGTAAAAGCGCGTGCAGCCGCACAGCTCTGACGCAGGGTCCTGCTCCTCTCCCGAGGGCAGCCCAGCCTCGGAAACAAAACTGCCCACCTCAGCCTGCGCCAGCTTGGGCGGTGTTTGTGATTTGCCAGTAGAAAGGCGTCCCTTCGGCAGCGTCCAGCGGAACACATCCTGCGGACCCCATTGGCTTTGGCTTTGGCTACACCTCCACATCCTGCGGACCCCATTGGCTTTGGCCTTGGCCACACCTCCACATCCTGTGGACCCCATTGGCTTTGGCCTTGGCTACACCTCCACATCCTGCGGACCCCATTGGCTTTGGCCTTGGCCACACCTCCACATCCTGTGGACCCCATTGGCTTTGGCCTTGGCCACACCTCCACATCCTGCGGACCCCATTGGCTTTGGCCTTGGCCACACCTCCTTAGCCATTCCCCGTAATTCCGGCAGCCCAGTGTTTGGAAACAGTCTTGGTTTTCTTTCGCCTTTATTTTTTTCTCCATCTATGCTAGTTTCTATAATAGTTAGAGTCAGAGACTGAAAGAAATGACTGCAGGAAAAAAAGACCCAAGATTTTTCGACTGTGTGTTTATTTTTAATGTTCTTATGTGTTCATTTCAACAGCTCAAGGGTAAAAAGCCTCCAGTGGCATCTAATGGGGTCACAGGAAAAGGGAAGACTCTGAGCAGTCAGCCAAAAAAAGTGGATCCTGTGGCTGGTGTGAAAAGGACGGCTTCGAGTGAGTATGCCACCGGACGTCTTGCCTTCTGGCTGTAAGTGCACTTGGTAGAGCTGGGCCTGTCTGAGCCTGCCCACCAGTACATGCCAGCTTGGGGGGCAGTTGGAGAGGTGGAGCTGCGGGCACCGCCATCCTTCCTCATCGGCTGCATGGAAGGACAGTGGCAGTTTCCACCCAGCTTTTCTGACTGTGCTTGTAAATGGAAGCCCAGAACTGGTTTGCTGCCTGTGGGATTGACTCAGCATTTTAAAATGGGAGGCAGTTGGAAGTGCAGGTTGCTTGCAGCTCCGGGTGGCCCTGGATGCTGGGTCAGGAGACCTTGGCTCATGTCCCTGATCTGTGGTTGACAAGTCATGCAAACTCTAAACTCAGCCTCTTTATCTGCTGGGCGCAGACAGATGCTCCTGTGGTTGGTGCAGTGGAATGACTGAGGTCATATGGGGACCTCACAGCACTAGAGCAGGGCAGCGATTAGTCCTGCAGCGCCTTGTGGTCTACAGCAAGCCGTTCTTATCCCATCCACTTTACTTGAGTGGCTTTGTCCTCTGCCCCATCATACACATGAGAAAAGAATCACCAAGAGGGTAGGCGGCTACCCCGAGGCCTCACAGCTGGTCAATCACAGAGCCAGAGTGGGTGGCAGGCTTTCACACTCCACAGCCAGCTGGAAATAGGGCAGAGAAGCTTCAAGACACAAGAGACTCAGCCTGCCTGCACCCAGCACCCTCTCCCCTTCCCTCCAGGGATCCATGGAGGGTGATACTGTCATCTCTGAAGTGTTGTTTGCCCTGGCCCTCATTATGTGGGATGTCTCATCAGGGAGCCAGCCAGGCAGGACTCTTCACTCCAGGGACTCAAAGACACAGTCAAGTAGTTGCTATCGAGCGTCTTTGGTCCAGCAGACCCGCACGTGCAGATGAGCACGTGGAAGGGCCGCAGCATGGGGTTCCGGAGGTCGGGGGCCCCTGAGGCCATCTGTCCAGGAAGATTTCTCAGAGGAAGAAGGTGGGAGTTAGATGCAGGTGTTGAGTTTGATATGGTTACATACCATTGCCACTTGGGATGTGTACCTGAGCTTTTCCAATCTGGATCACGGCAACTGGTAGACCAGTCTCTGTGGCTAATGAAGATGAGGCTGGCTAGCCCCGTTGGTAACCCCACACCAGCTGTAGAAGAGAGAGGGTCCGATACCGACACGTGCTGACATCCATTTGCACTGTGGTTTCAGTTTTGGAGTCACAGCATCCACATAGGGGAATTGAGAGGCTGGCAGTGTCCTTGGCTGCGTACATGAACGAGCCTTGGAATCACCCAGCAGGACCAGGGTGCATTTGCCTCGAGGAAGAGTGTACATTCCTGCCGGAAGCCTGTCTCCACCTCTGTTCTACGCCCCCCCGCCCCCCACACACACATGCTCGCCACTGCCCTGGGGAAGGGTGTACGTTCCTGTGAAGCCTGTCTCCGCCTCTGTTCTACCCGCCCCCCCCACACACACACACACATACATGCTCACCAGATAGGTTGGAACCAGTGGGGCCAAATCCTCCCGCCACCATTTGTTTAATGTGCTGACTTCCTCTGACCTTGTCTCTAGCAAATCTTATTTCCCACTGTATCGGGTGTGTTAACTTTCACCTCTTTTAGTTTTGTTTCCTTGGGGAGGGGTAGTGGGAAAGGAGCAGCTCACACCTGGGCAGCTTTATTAAAGCGGAATCTGAATCCCACGGAGTCTTAGTCGCCATGACACTTCTCCGTCAGTACCTGTGCTGACTTTATTTCCTAGATGATTTGTTCCTTTATTTTATGAGACCTTCTGTAGGGAGTTTTTATTAACTTTGGTGACATCTAATGGTGACAAAAGAGAAAAATAATGGCATTCTGTGTTTTTGCTGAATCCAGCCAGTTGCATTATAGAGTAGACGGGGTTTATTACATGGGGACGAAAAGACTGGAACTTTTATAGGTTACTGCATTGAGTTCATTTGGGGAGACAGGATAGTTGAGAAATAAGTGTAGAGTTTGGACTTGGCCTTGTTTGCAAAATCTGTGATTACCCTAGCTCCTTTGTTTCAGACTGTTGAATGCTCAGCCTGTCCTCAGCCTGTCCTCAGGCTGCCAGCCCTTTCGCTATCACTCTGTGTGCTGCATTTGGGTCGGGAAAATTGACAGGGTGATCACTTTCTATGCCTTCATAAATGCCGTATTTCATTGAAATCACGATGGCTCACATTGCAAGTACTGGCACATCCAGCATTTAGGACAGGCGCTAGAAATGGCTCCCCGCTGTCCCTGAGTGGACAGGCCTCTGGGAATCACTTATCGCTGATATGGTAAGACTTGCCAGTGAATGTCACTACATCAGACATCATGTCATTTTGTTAGAGTTTTTTCAGATACGTGTTTCTCATTTAAAACACACGCACACATCTCATTAAAACATGCACATGTGCATATGCACACACATACACACACACACCACACACACAGGGTTCCTTCTCGTGTCTGTTTTAGAGAGGGTGAAGCTGAGCTTTTCCAGAGGGTGCTTGCAGAGTCACGTAGCCAGGGAGGGTGGAGTGTGGGTTTACAGCCGCCTCTCTGAGCCCAGTGTTTTTATTCTTAACCATTATGCCACCCTGTGACTTCTCCCTGAAGTACTTTGTAGCCAAGCTAGGTAGTCAGACACGTGGGGTATGTAGTCGTGAAGGCCTAGGAGTTGTCATCAGGTGTGAGCAATTGTTAGAAGCGACAGGGAGATCACTGAGGTTTTGCCATTTTGTGACCCTCCATCCAAGTTTTGTTAGAACCCTTGTCTCCTCCATGGATTCTTCCAAAGAGCTGTTGTCCTAAGTTACTGTTACCGAAAGGCGAACAGAAGAGGAGGAAGAGAGCGTGCGGTTCGGTTCTGAAAGCCTTTTCACTGGCGGTGTGATGTCGCCACGTCTGTAATGTCCGCTACAGCCAGTTTCCTTATTTATTCATTTTATGAAAGAAGCATTTATGTATTACCCATTTTTGCGTTTGTTCTAAGTGCTTTATAAATATTTAATCCTCATAACCGCCCAGTGAATTACCTGCTCTTACTACCCCCATTTCACAGCTGAGGGAAACTGAGGCACAGAGGGATTCATGCCCTGTTCCAGGTCATGCAGCTACAGGTGCAAGCTGGGCTCCTTCCTAGGTGGTCAGGCTCCAGGTCCTGCTCCTGGTTGCCTCTTCACGGATCGGTTGCTAGTTCATTCACTAAACAAACGTGTATTACCTCACGCCACGTGCCAGTGCCCATCCCAGAGCGGGGCTGTAGCAGCAGTCGAGAGCCAGTCGGATGCCATGGCCGGAAGGAACAGACGCTGTGGTGTTGCGGAAGTGTTTTGCAGAATGTAGAGAGGGCAGCAAACTCAAGACCAGATTGATGGTAACAGACCCCTGTCTTCTCCGGTTATGGAATGTTCACTCTCCATGTTGTCGCAGATTAGTTACAAGTCACGTTCCTCAAAGGGAAGGGAATTAAAGGAATGTCCTAATATTCTGTTTTTGTTTTTAAAAATTTGATTCAAAGGCTGTCGAAGAATTTGAACTAGCCAACTTTTCTGCTTAGTTCAAGCCACCGCTGTTTTTTTTTTCTTATTGAATTGGGAAAATAATTGGCTTTGTGTTTCTTTACTGACTTGGCTGATTAAACAGGCTTTTTGAGTTACCCCATTGTATGCTTGAATAAACCTATTTTTTTTTTCAAAATGGGGTCTCAGTGTCACCCAGGCTGGAGCACATGGCAGAATCACAGCTCACTGTAGCTTGGAACTCCCAGGCTCAGGCAGTTCTCCCCTCTCAGCCTCCTGAGTAGCTGAGACTACAGGCATGTGCCATCATGCCTGGCTCATTTTTGTATCTCTCTGTAGTGACAGACCTCGCTGTGTTTCCCGGGCTAGTAACCCTGATTTTTAATTGCTATCTTTTTTCTTCTCGAGATGCTGCTCAGTACAAGTATGGCAAGAACCGGGTAGAAGCAGATGCCAGGCGGTTGCAGACCAGAGAAGAGGAGCTGCTGAAGAGGAAGGAAGCCCTGCGGGACAGGCTGGCCCAGCTCCGCAGAGAAAGAAAAGACCTCCGCGCCGCCATGGACTCCAGCGCCGGTAGGGAGGGTCTGGGGTCAGGTGACTGCCCCAGGCGCGTTTGTATCAGAGACTGCACGTTTCATTGCTCAGGACCTGACCGACACGCTGCTCACGGAGGCAGGGGAGGTGCTGGGGGACCTGCTCCAGCTTCTGGCGCTGACAGCAGAGATGGTCTGGAGGATGGCCCCTGCCTCCACAGGGCTCGGTAGATTTGCTCACTGTGCCAGAGGGACCCGCTGGATTTCTCCACAGGAGGGGAGCCCACAGGGGTGATCAGGCAAGGCAAGATGGAGCTGCATGGATAGAAGAAGCCCCTCGTTTCTTGAGAAGGGACAGGCAAGAGTAAGGCAGCATCTGTCTGGGAATGCATCAGGGAAGAGGCCAGGCTAGCGGGATACAGACGCCAGAGAGGGACGCATCTGTCTGGGAATGCATCGGGGAAGAGGCCAGGCTAGCGGGATACAGACGCCAGAGAGGGACGCATCTGTCTGGGAATGCATCGGGGAAGAGGCCAGGCTAGCGGGATACAGACGCCAGAGAGGGACGCATCTGTCTGGGAATGCATCGGGGAAGAGGCCAGGCTAGCGGGATACAGACGCCAGAGAGGGACGCATCTGTCTGGGAATGCATCGGGGAAGAGGCCAGGCTAGCGGGATACAGACGCATCTGTCTGGGAATGCATCGGGGAAGAGGCCAGGCTAGCGGGATACAGACGCATCTGTCTGGGAATGCATCGGGGAAGAGGCCAGGCTAGTGGGATACAGACGCCAGAGAGGGACGCATCTGTCTGGGAATGCATCGGGGAAGAGGCCAGGCTAGCGGGATACAGACGCATCTGTCTGGGAATGCATCGGGGAAGAGGCCAGGCTAGTGGGATACAGACGCCAGAGAGGGACGCATCTGTCTGGGAATGCATCGGGGAAGAGGCCAGGCTAGCGGGATACAGACGCCAGAGAGGGACGCATCTGTCTGGGAATGCATCGGGGAAGAGGCCAGGCTAGCGGGATACAGACGCCAGAGAGGGACGCATCTGTCTGGGAATGCATCGGGGAAGAGGCCAGGCTATAGCGGGATACAGACGCATCTGTCTGGGAATGCATCGGGGAAGAGGCCAGGCTAGCGGGATACAGATGCCAGAGAGGGACGCATCTGTCTGGGAATGCATCGGGGAAGAGGCCAGGCTAGCGGGATACAGACGCATCTGTCTGGGAATGCATCGGGGAAGAGGCCAGGCTAGTGGGATACAGACGCCAGAGAGGGACGCATCTGTCTGGGAATGCATCGGGGAAGAGGCCAGGCTAGCGGGATACAGACGCCAGAGAGGGACTGAGGGCAAGGGCGCATTCCCAGGAACTGAGTCTGGAGCCAGAGTGGCATCCCTGGGCCAGGCGTGTGCATTCCTGCTGGCGGGAGCTGGTGCCTAGCTCCTGACCCTGGGGCAGCACGGCTTCCATAGGCGTGACCTCCCTTCCAGCCTGGTGCTCCCACTGCGAACGCTGGCTCCCTAGATTGAAATTGTACTAGCTTGGGCTGGGACGGGGGCTTCAGATGCCGCAGAGGCCTGCGCGGTCCAGAGAGGAAGCTGCAGCTCCCCTGTGTCCGGCTGTGCAGGGAGGAGCTGATGCACACCCAGCCAGCAATTAGCAGCTCCCGCCTTTCTGGACTTTGTGCCTCAGTGATTTGAGAAGGGAAAGCTTTTGGAGTTTAGAAGAGGGGAAGGCAGGTGTCGGCAGGGCAGGTCAGGTCAGGCTGACCCTGCAGGTGAGCCAGGATGTGGCCTGCAGCCTGAGACTGACCCAGGAGGAGGCTCAGCCAGAGAATGGGGCAGGGCATTGAGTTTAGCAAGGCAGAAGTGGCATTTCTCCCTTGTGTTCCAAGCTTGCAGCATAGTGAAGATGCACGGGGGCTGAAGGTGCTTTCAGCTTTGAAAAAGAGAACCTCTCCTGCTGGCTGACACCGGCCCGGGCCCTGGGTACCAGTCTGTTCACTCCTGGGACTGGTGTTCTCATCTGTCCAGTGGGTCCATCTTAGGTCACTGCAGCAAACCTCAAATAAATACAGCAAATGTGCCTGAAAGAAGTGTATGCCATGTCCAGTAGAGATGCGAGCTGTGCCCCTGTTCATTGCCACAGGGCATGAGCTGGCGGAAGGATTGGCGGAGCATCAGGGAAGGACAGTGTTCACACTTCAGGCAGTGGCACCTTTGGAAGTTGTGGAGTTTAGGGGCCACGTTTTAGAATGAGTACACTGGGGTACATTGAGGCCGAGAGCCAGGAGCTGCCGGCCTTGCTGATAATTAGCATCTCCTGTTTCCTTGGGGACCAGCTGCAGCAAAGGGTAGTGGTTGGGGAAGGACTCTGGTCCCTTAGAGAACTGCTGAATTTAGGTTTTGCACCGAGGACCTAAATCAGGGGAGCTCAAGCTAAACGTTTTATGGAAGTTCTTTTCGGGGACCAGGTGCCTTCTCTGTTGTCCGGAGAGTGTCTGCTGTGGGAGTAACAGCGTTTCTGGGAATTCCAGGCAGGAAGCCGCAGGCGGTCCTGGAGGAGAAGCTGAAGCAGCTGGAGGAGGAGTGCCGGCAGAAGGAGGCAGAGCGCGTCAGCCTGGAGCTGGAGCTCACGGAGGTCAAGGAGAGCCTGAAGAAGGCGCTGGCGGGCGGGGTCACCCTGGGGCTGGCCATTGAGCCCAAGTCAGGGACGTCGAGTCCACAGGTATGTGTCCTGCCAGTTCACCTCAGAGGCTGGCGCGGCCTTGCGTGACCGAGGGCCGCAGCGTCCAGAGAGGATGCGGAGGGGCTCTCGGGTGTAGCTTGTTTGTGGCCCCTTAGCCTGCCCAGCAGAAGACGGTTCACGTGTTAGCATGAGACCCTTGGATCAGCCGGGCCCTGTGTTCCTGACATGCTGCTTTCTTGTCTCTCGCTGAAGTGTTAAAAGGCGTGGAGACACTGGGTCCGTGTCTTTCCCCTTTGCACGGTCTGTTTAGAACAGATCCGGTCCTCATTTGATGCCAGTTCATTAGGTAGCTAGTGCTTATAAACCGTCTAGCGTGTCTGAGAGTTAAGCCAGGGGCTGGTTCGGAAGCTGAAAGGAATGAGGTGCTCTGTGTCCTCTTAGAATCGAGCGGAACACAGCGGGGTCCTCTTCCAGTGTGGGTCAGCCTGTCAGTAGTTCCTCTCCACTCATTCGACTGAGATTGCTGGAGACTTCGACGTCCTTTCCACTTGGTTGTTCTGTTGAGTCTCCTGTCTTGTGACTTGGATTGAGCGAGGGAGGCATTGGGCCCAGAGAAATACACATACCTGTAGAGCAGGCAGGGCAGGCAGCGGAGAGGGACGGCTGGACTTCAGTCCCTGTGCCGGCTGAAACCCTGCGGCGGCCCCCGCCCACTGCACCCTGGACACTCCCACTCTAGGTCTTTCTTTCCAGACCCCTTGGTAAAATGCTGAGCCTGGTTGAACCCGCCACTGCCCCTCCACACGAGCCTGGGGCGGGGTTGTGGGGAAGATTTACACATTTCTGGGTTGATGGCAGCCCTACTGTGCCCTGCCGGGTACCCCTGCACTGCCTGCCCCTCCTTACTCTCCCCTTCCCTGCACTGCCTGCCCCTCCTTACCCTCCCCTTCCCTGCACTGCCTGCCCCTCCTTACCCTCCCCTTCCCTGCACTGCCTGCCCCTCCTTACCCTCCCCTTCCCTGCACTGCCTGCCCTTCCTTACCCTCCCCTCCTCTGTACTGCCTGCCCCTCCTTACTCTCCCCTTCCCTGTACTGCCTGCCCTCCTTACCCTCCCCTTCCCTGTACTGCCCACCCCTCCTTACTCTCCCCTTCCCTGCACTGCCCGTCCCTCCTTACTCTCCCCTTCCCTGCACTGCCTGCCCCTCCTTACTCTCCCCTTCCCTGCATTGCCTGTCCCTCCTTACTCTCCCCTTCCCTGCACTGCCTGCCCCTCCTTACTCTCCCTTCTCCTCCAAGCTCCCCCTCCCCACGTGTTTCCTGTGTCACCCCAGTGATCATCTCCAACTCGGAGGACAACCTCCCTCCTGCCTGCAGAGCTGAGCAAGCAGCCAGGTCACGGATCTATCCCCAGACCACAAACCCAGCCACGCATGCATGGTTCCTTAAAGTGCTGAAGAGGCGGCTGTGTGGCCACACAGGCCACGGCTTGAAACCACTTGACTTCTCTAGGCCCCGAGTTTGTCATCTCTAAGATGAGAAAACACTAGTGCCCACTGCATGGGACTGTACATGCAGAGGCCCTGGGCACAACGCCCCACCAGAGCGCCTGTGTTCGTTCATTCACTCACACCTTCCTGAACGCACATGCATTCATTCATTCATTCCACTCACCCAACAATGGCATGTTTATATCATTATATGCAGTACTGTTATATATTACATAAAATCATAGAGAATTCATTCAGCAGTTATGTATTATGTGTAAAATACAATTATATATTTACATACTATTTCATATATAAAGGTGTGTATGTACATACACATAGGCATATGCTGTGTTTCTTTTTGAACTCCTGGGCTCAAGCGACCCTCCTACCTTGTCTCCTGAGTTGCTGCGGTTACAGGCGGAGGGGGACCATGCCCGGCCCACATTCTGTGCTTCCTCTGTGTGCCAGGAACTATTCTAAGCCCACAGTTGTGACAAGATAGGTGAGAATCCCTGTTTCATGGAGCTTATATTCTATTAGGGAGGCAAAGCAATAAAACACATTGATGTCAGATGCAGACAGATCTGTGGAGCACAGCAAAGCAGGGCTGGGGAGGAGGGGTGCAGGTGGAATTCACAGCCAAGGGCTAGGGGGTGCCTTGGGTGTCCTCAGTCCCTCATCCAGCATAGGTGGGGACAAGAGCATGGTGGGGTCAGGTGCAGTGAGAGTGGCAGTGAGGCTGTGGGCATAGGCTGGCACAGGGCGGGTCTTCCCTTGCTTCATGGAGCCCTGTGCCCTTCCATCTGGTGATCTAGCCAGGAGTGCACACTGTCCCTGCTGCTGCTTGTCCTGTGGCCTGTGTGAAGGGTGGGGGGGCGGGAGTGGTCTGAGGAACTGTCCCACCCCTGTCGTCTGGTCCTGTTTGAGTAGAGGGGCTGGGCTTCCTGGGGTCTGGTAGGCTTCAGTCCCTGCACTGGCTGAAACCCTGCGGGCGGCCTCCCACCCACTGCGCCCTGGAGTGGGCTTCCTGGCCTTGATCCCCCACTCCTCTGCCTTCCAGACACCTGGGAGATCCTTCTGCTGTATCTTCAGCTTTTCTAAATGCTTTTTCCTAGCATTAAAGGATTCTCTAGTTGGATCTATCTTTAAAAAAGAAGGTTCTTCCTGGCCTCCTGCTCCCTCTGGTGACTGTCCTGTTGCCCTGCATTCTTGCCTTGCCTTCCGAGGTGAACTTGGGAAGCAGTTGTCCATGTTGGCAGTGTCGTCTGCCCCCTGCAACGCCTCCACTTTCTGGGTGTGGCTTTCCATCGCGCCTGCTTTCGTCATGGTGACCCCCGGTGTTCCCATCCAGCAGTGGTCTTCACTCCCTGGCTCCAGTGCCCTTCGACTCAGCTGCCCACTCGCTTCCTCTGTGGTGGCCCCACATTCTTCCGCTCCCCCATTGCTGGAGCTTCCCTTGGGCCACTTTTCCAGCTCCTGCAGCGCCATCCTCCTGGACTTCCCTTGACCGAAGTACTCTGTAGGGGCCTAGGCCTGGCTGGCTGCATTAGCTTTCCCCGCTCCAGTCCACCATGCTTTGTGACTTCCCTCTCTTTTGAGGGAGGGTGTCCTTGGTGCCATTCTCTGTCCCAGCATCTGGGGAAACACCATGTACCCGTTCTGCCCAGGCCACGTCCTAGGGAGAGTGGCTTGCTGGGTGGACCCCTCTTGAGATGCAGGTCTCTGGGTCTCCTGCCCCTTTACTCACAGTGTGGCCTGGCCTCTCCCAGACAGAGGTCCTCATCAGCATTCCCTTCTGTTAACTGCCACTGCCCCGAGCTCCCTCCCCAGCAGCCAGGGACCGCCACAGCATAGGTCAGGTTGACTTCCTGGGGACTGTGGTCAGTAAAGCCCACAGGGGAGCCTGAGCTGCCCATTTTCATAGTCATTGAAACACTGTTCTAAAACACCGTTCCATATACCCTGAACAACATTTTTACATAACACATTTTGGCAGGAATCCTAGGAAGCATCCCTTCCTTGGAGACTTCATTTGAGAGAAGGCTCAGCAGACTGCAGCGTTTCTTCCCAGAGAACAGTTTGGGATCCCATACGGAAGAGCGGCGATGGGGGCCTTGGTGGCTCAGGACACATGTGGTTCTATTTTCAGCCTCCTTTTGCATATGGAAGCTGCCTTAAACACTCAGAAAGCCTCCGTGCTCAGGGGCGCCTGCGTTTCTCCCGCCTGCCCCGTGCAGCAGGAGCCAGTGCTGCCCCGACCCCAGGTGCTGGTGCTTTCTGCTGCCCGGGCATCTCTAGGGCGCTTGCCCCAGAAAAGCTCTGTAAACCATACAGCGCTGCACAGAGGGACCGACAAGAGGCAGCAGCAGCTGATGGAAGAGCCCAGCTTTGAATGCAAAAGACTTGGGCAGGAATCCCACCCTCACTGCCCCCAGGCACGGCTGGGAGTCAGAGCACCCCTTGAAGCCTCCACCTGCCCCCCAGAGCCTCCCGGCCATGCATGTTGGGAGGTGCTCGGGGGGTGAGACACTGACCACCTGGCGGTCCTTGCTGTTGCTGCTGCTGTTATTTTTGCCCACTTCCAAAACTTATTTCTTCCTTGAGATAAATGGTTTTCCTGCTGGAGAATACTGGTGGCCTAGAAACCACTCCTCACACGGGTTTTCTCTCTCTCTTAAGTCTCCAGTGTTCAGGCATCGGACTCTGGAAAACTCGCCCATCTCCAGCTGTGACACCAGTGACACTGAGGGCCCCGTGCCGGTGAACAGTGCGGCTGTCCTGAAGAAGAGCCAGGCCGCCCCGGGCAGCTCCCCCTGCCGAGGACACGTGCTGCGGAAGGCCAAGGTGAGCCCTGGCTTCTGGGGGTGCTGGTCCGGGGGGTGTCCAGATGATTTAGGCTCCGGGCGTTCTCAGGTGTGAACAAGGAGCCCGTCCATCTTCTTCTCCCTCCACTTGGCCTTCAGCCTTTGGTAGATATCGTGGAATGGGCGCTTCTCCAGTCCTCTCCACCCTGCAGACCCTCCTTTAGGAACTGGGTTCTCCAAGGTGAACAGTGACCCAAAGGTGCTGGCCGTTTAGTCTCAGTGCCACCGCTCAGCTCCAGGTTCATCTCCAATGCAGGCAGGCCCTGGGCTTCTCTGGACTTGTGTTCTCATTGGTGGGGTGGAGATCGGACTGGGCAACCTCTGAAGTCCTTTTTGGCACTTAGATGTCTGACTCTGTAGAAAGACAAAAGAGAGGGCCCAGGCACCAGCTTTTCCCCAGCGCCGTCAGAGCATGAATCTGGCCTCAGAGGGCCCCGGAGGAACCTTGGCTCCCGCCTGTGGCTGCTTCCAGTCTTGTCATAGGATTAGCCACTAACAAGTTTTGATGCTAAACTTGAAAACCTCAGAAATTTTAACACATAATTTCTAGTTGATCAGAGCCAGTCCTGGCTTCAGCGAGGGAAAGTGTTGTATGTGCACACACAGGGTGTGATGGCAGGAGCTGGGAGACACAGGAGTGGAGTTCCCCTGCCCCGAGGGGCGGAGACTCGGGGGTCCTCCCTGTACCGGCTCTGTGGGTTCCTCTGATTGCCGGAATTAACTTTTTTTTTTGAGGCATGGCCTCACTCTGGCCCAGGCTGGTACAGTGGTGCCATCACAGCTCACCACAGCCTTGACCTCCTCGGTTCAGGTGATCCTCCTACCTCAGCTTCCCAAGGAGCTGGGTGTACACCATTATGTCCAGCTAATTTTTTGCATTTTCTGTAGAGATGGGGTTTGGCAGTATCGCCCACATGGGCATCAAACTCCTGAGTTCAAGCGGTCCTCTCCCCTCCCAAAGTGCTGGGATTACAGGCATGAGCCACTGTGCCAGCCTGGCATTCTCTGCAGCTTTTGGAGCCCATTCCAAGTTGGCTGGGAATGGGTATTTCCTTTGGGGGGCGGCTGATTGAGAGATGAAAACATGAGCGCCGCCCACCTGCTCTGCTCTTTGAGGTGCTCACAGGAGGCCCCCTGGGAAACATGGTTGTCTACACATGCTGCCACATATGTTCCGCAAACAAGCCTAGGAAGCACAGTGACATTTCCAAGCCCAGGTCACACTGATCACAGAGTAAGCGACAGGATGAGAACTGTAGACACTGCTGAACTCAGAACAGGGCAGGAAACAGAATCTGCAGGTCAAGGTGTCACTAGAGGCAGGGGCATGAAACCTGGAGCAGCCCAGCACCTGCCCTTGGGCCCCTCTCAGAGCAGAACCACAGTTCCCATTCCCGGAGGTCTCTTGGCACACGGCCGGCCCAGATGAAGAGAAAAGAAACTGGCCTCGAGCTGCGCCTGGAGGGTGGTTCTGAGCCGGGAAGCCCTGGGCACGGGACTGGAAGCCGGTTCGCTTTCCAGAGTCCGCCCTCGTGCTCAGCGCTCCTCACCAAGAGCTGGAAGGTATGTCAGGAATACTGCAGCTGGGATCACGTGTCCCACATCCAGAAATGTCAGACCCCCTGGGCCTCAGACAAAGGTGGGAGGCCGATGAGACCAGCTTTATGACACCCAAATGCATTCATGTTCTCAGGGTCTGCAGGCTGCACCACCATCCCCACCTCCAGCTGGGGCCCCTGTCACTGTTGTCAGAAATCCTGGGACACGCTGCTCAGTCAGGCCTCTTCTTTCAGTGAGGCCATGCACAAGATTGTCACCTGGAAGGACGAGAGGCTCCCACTGCTTACTGGACCTGTGAATGCATTTGGGTGACATAAACTTGGTCTCATCTGCCTCCTACCTTTTTCTGAGGCCCAGGGGGGGGTCTGACTTTTCTGGATGTGGGGCACACAATCCCAGCTGCGGTATTCCTGAAATACCTTTCAACTCTTGGTGAGGAGCGTTGAGTACGAGAGAGGGCTTCCAGTCCCATGCCCCAGGGCTTCCTGGCTCAGAAAGGGCTCAGAACCACCCTTCATTTGGGCAGGCTCTGGGCAGGCCGTGTGCCAAGAGACCTCTAGGCGTGGGAGCTGTGGTTCTGCTCAGAGAAGGGCCTGAGGGCAGGCTCTGGGCTGCTCCAGGTTTCATGCCCTGCCTCTAGTGACACCTTGACCTATAGATTGTTTTCTGCCCTGCCGAGTTCAGCGGTGTCTACAGGTTCTCAGCCTGTCGCTTATTCTGTGGCCAATGTGACCTGGGCTTAGAAATGTGACTATGCTCCCTAGGCTTGTTTGCTGAACATACGTGGCGCCATTTGTAGGTGACATGGGAGTTCTCCCTAGGCTTGTTTGCTGAACATACGTGGCGCCATTTGTAGGTGACATGGGAGTTTTCCTCTCTTGGACGCCCACTGCCTGGTCGTAAACTGGTGATCTGTGTAACAGAGGACTGCCCATGAGTGCCGGCCTCGTATCTTTGTCCTCTGGCGCCTTTTCTGCTCTCAACGGCCACATAGCTGTCCAGGGCGGCTGCAGAAGGGGTGAGAAGGCATGAGGCCTGCCCCACTAGCCATCCTCCCTTTGCAGAACATGTGCGCCAAGAGCCTGCGAGTGTCTCCAGCATGGTTTTGTTATGGTGCTGGTTTGGTGTTTATTTCTGCCAAGTTTGCTAATGCTGTGCATTTATTTTTTATTTTATTTTATTTATTTTTTTTTTTTGAGATGGAGTTTTGCTCTTGTTACCCAGGCTGGAGTGCAATGGTGTGATCTCGGCTCACTGCAACCTCCGCCTCCTGGGTTCAGGCAATTCTTCTGCCTCAGCCTCCTGAGTAGCTGGGATTACAGGCACGCGCCACGATGCCCAGATAATTTTTTGTATTTTTAGTAGAGACGGGGTTTCACCATGTTGACCAGAATGGTCTCAATCTCTTGACCTCGTGATCCACCTGCCTCGGCCTCCCAAAGTGCTAGAATTACAGGCTTGAGCCACCGCACCCGGCCAATGCTGTGCATTTAACCATGAATTGAACTTGAGCTTTGGATTTAGAAAAGGTGAGAAATTGTTCACGGTATGCAGCACGCAGAGGCCTGCTGTGTACTCGTGACCCAGTTAATGAGCCCCTGGAAATCCGGTGGGAGTCAGACACCCACCTCCTGGTGCAGGGTCAGCAGGCACAGGGAAGAAAGCCCGTTTGGCGGCCAGGCTCGTGGTGTGCTGGGGCTGTCTGTGCTGGGGCTTTTCACACACCCTTTCTCCTTTGATCTTCCCAGTCGCACTTTGAAGTCTTTGGTGGGACTCACGTTGTGCTAAGGGTCAGAGAGGTGACGCGACCCCTCCACGGCCCCACAGTGGCTGAGGCACAGAAAGTCTGGCCCTGGCTCTGTGCCCTCTGTTCTCCTCCTCCTGAGCCACCCATGCCAGGGAACTGAAGGCCCCCATCCTGCATGATGTCTGCCGCTGTGCTGGCCTGGGTCTGCTCTCTTGCCTCCGCTTTCTGGAACTCAATCCATGGCCAGCCCCCATTTCAAATCCACATAGCTCTAGAGACCATGAGTAGCCCGGGCTCTGCCTCTGTGCCCCTGCAGTGGGTGCGGAGGACCCAGAGGTGAGCGGCTGGAAAGGAGGAGGTGAGGAGCCTGAGGGCACGCGTCAGGTCCATCTGCTGCTGTGACGCGGCTTGTTGAAAAGCACAGAAACGGCACAGAACATGGCAGCGTTGCCTCCAGAGTCAGGGCAGGAAGGGGCAGGGGGTGGGGAGAGTCACTGAAGCCTGCTCCTCAGGATGCATGAGGTTGACGCAGGGTGGAGAACGGGCGTGGGGGAACCTGCCACGGAAGCCAGAGTGGGCCTGTTGGGCGGCAGCACGGCAGAGTGGACACGGGAGGCCTCTGCTTGGAACAAGCGGTTTTGGGTCCCAGCGTCATCACTTTGGACCTAAGGCAAGTCACGAAGCCCCTGTCACCTTATTGATTGATTGATTGAGACAGGGTCTTGTTCTGTTGACCAGGCTCTAGTGCCATGGCGATCGTGGTTCACTGCCGCCTCAAACTCCTGGGCTCAAGCCCTCTTACCTCCGCTACCGAGTAGCTGGGACTACATGTGTGCTACCACATCCAGCTAATTTTGTATTTTTTTGTAGAGTTGGGTCTCACTGTGTTGCCCAGGCTGGTCTTGAACTCCTCCTCCTGCCTCACTCAGCCTCTGGAAGTGCTGGGATTCCCCGCACCCCCCTGTCTCCTCGCTTATGAAGTAGGAGTACTGTCCACCTTGCAGGACTGTTGGCAGACCGGACGCAGCTGTGCCCAGTGCCCACAGTCTCTGCAGCTGTGCCCAGTGCCCACAGTCTCTGCTCTCTCGTTGCTGGTGCTGTGTAGACTGCAGCCAGCACTCAGGGCCTGTGCATGGAGCCAGTCCAGCTGCTCCACTGATGAGATTTCAGCATCCTCATCTTTTTAAAAGAACATTTTTCATTCTGGTAAAATAAACACAACATACAATTGACCATTTGAAGCGTTTCTGAGTCGGTAGTTCAGTGGCATTAAGCACAGTCCCCTGTTACACGGACCTCCTTCTCCAGAACGTTTTCATCTTCTCAAACTACAGCTCTGTCTCCATTAAACACTAACTCCCCATACCCCAGCGGAGGGAGGAAAGCCCCTCGCTGGCGGCCAGGCTCGTGCTGTGCCAGGTGCCCTGCTCGGGCTTTCAGAGCCCTTGATATCCACTCTTCTGCTTTCGTACTTCCACATTTTTTGAAATAGAGATGAGGTCTCGTTATGTCGCCGAGGCTGGTCTTAGACTCCTGCATCTGCCTCCCACAGTGCTGGGATTACGGGCGTGAGCCGTCCCTCGCGTAAGTGAAATCATTACAGATATCGTTGGTCGCTGGCTTGTTTTGCTGATCACGTCTCAGGGTTCACCCAGGTTGCAGCATGTGCCAGAATGTCCTTCCTTCTTAAGGCTGATACGTGGCATTGTCTGTACTCACCGTGCTTTATGTATGCATCCGTCGGCAGACGTGGGGTTCCTCTGCCTCCTGGCTGCTGAGTCATGCTGCCGTGAACGCGGTGTGTGGTGTCTGCCGGAGACCGTGCTCTCCGTTCTGATGGGTACATACATACCTAGCAGTGGAATTGCTGGGTCACTGCTCATTGACTGTTGACTTTTCTGCAGTACCTGAGCACCCACCTGTTCTGAGTAGAATGTAAATGGTGGCGTGGCTTGTCCCAGCCTGATCCTCGTGCCCTGTCAACTTACAAGACCCTCCTTTTTTCTAGGAATGGGAATTGAAGAATGGGACATAGGGAACAGCAGGACCCCTCCAGCCTCAGAGACTGCACACCCCCTTGCCCGTGTCCTCATCTGTGTGACGGCAGAATCCTGCCCTGAGCAGCCTCCGCTGCACGACGCCAGAGGCTTCATGACTGAGCGCCGAGGCCAGCGCCTCTCACCCAGGCCCACGTGTATTCTTTCTACTGTATACCGGCGCCTTTAAAAAAGATTTACTTGTAAGATTCTGGTTTCCAACTTTATTCGTTAAAAAACAAAAACAAAAGTGATGGAAAGGTGTCTGAAAGGGTGCTGTCAGGCGAAGTGACATCTTTCTAACCAGTTAAGCCATTGCTTTCACCCATTCCAGCCCAGCCCCGGACTGAGGGTGGATGGATCTGTGAGCCCCGAATGAAACCTTGGATTTTACGCAGAAGAGTTTGGATCCCTGGCTGCTCTGGGCACGACTGTGGCTGGCATGTGGGCACTCGACTCCCCTGCAAGCCCACCAGGAGGGCCAGGGGCTTACGCAGTCCTGATGTGGACTGTGGGTGTGGGCATCCCCTCCCCACATGCCCGTCCTCCTTGGCATCAGCGGTAAAGGCATGAGAAAATCGTGCTGTGAAACATTTTTTACCTTTTATTATTTTTTTGGACACATAGTTTTGTCACCAAGACATGAAAAGCTGCCGTACTTCTTAACCATTTTTTAAGAATGTCTCTTTTTATTGTGTCACACTTAGATCTAAGGATTTTTCAGAGGTTTCTTATTTTATTAATGATGTGTGCTGCTTTTGATGGGCAGCAGAGGGTTTAATCCTTCACTAACGTGTGCCCTCCACCCCCTCAGCCTGGCATCCCCAGCCCTTAATTCGCGTGGGAGCCTCTGGGGGCAGGGCTGGCTCCTCGCCGATGTATGGGACGTTTACTGCTGTGTGGGGCCAGAGCGGTCCTTTGAAAGGGAAGCAAGATCTGGAATGTGTCACTCATAGAACATCTTAGAGCAAGAGGCAGGAATTCCAGGGCCACCTGCCCCTCCGAGGCCCTCCCCTCCTCCGGCTTGTAAAGTTAAACCCCAAGTGTGTTGGTTGGCCTGGCTGCGCACCCTCTCTCCTGAGCGGGGCGGGTGCAGAGCGGGCCTCTTCACTTGCTTGCCTTACGTGCAATATTTCTTGGAGAACGCAGATGCCTAAGGCATAAAGAAACACCGAGTTGATAGTTGGGGCTGGTTTCTACCCCCTGGGTTTAAAAATCAGATTACCTTCTTGGTCTCCCGGAGACCGCTGTCAGGAATTCTCCCTTTTGGAAAGATGCAGTCAGCGATGAGGAACTAGCAGCCCCCGAAAGCCTGTGCAGGCAGATTCACGGAGCCCAGTCCCAGCAGCGACCGCCGCTGCCCCAGCATAGAATCTGAGGTGCTACACTTGGCGCAAGCCTTCTGTCCACCATCCAGAATGTCCTCCTTATCACACATAGGAAGAGATGGCAGGAAAACGCAGCCCCCTTGACGTCCCCCAGACACTTTCAGAGCCCATCCTGGCGTCAGCCGCGTGGTGCACAGGACTTTACAGTTAGGATTCATGTTTAGTGTCGTAGCACTCGAGGCCTGCGAGGGCCACGTCGGATGACTCTAGCGGGAAAGTGGTCTCCCGTGTATAAGAAAGTTTTACAACAAGAATTGGAAGCTGCTTCATTTGAGTCCGCCTGAAACTTGAATTGATGACAAAGCCATCTGCCGGGAGCATTTGGGGTTCCTGAGCCATCGGCTGACGTTCCCTGTCTGATGCGCCTTCCTCCCTGCCTGGTCAGCGGAGGCCCATCACACCAGCATCCGTGACGCCAGCTTCCCGCTAGGATATCCAGGCAGGGGGGCACAGCCGCCACAGGCCCCAGGGCCATCCACTGTGCTGACACAGAGGAGCATTCCCTCCGGTGGTGACTTCCCACCATCGCAGGCGGCTGGGACCGCGTCTATCACACAAGGAGAATCTTCTGTGAAGGGAAAGAAGCTTGCTCCACCTTAGAGTTTTGCTGCCTTCGAGTCAGTTCTCCAGGTTGAGGCCCTGGGGCTGCTCTGATTGGCAGCCTGCTTTGCCCACGAGAACTGTGCACGGCTGTGGTGGTTAGTGAAAGAAGGGGGAAGTGGCCAGCCTGATGTCCTGGTCCTGGCCCAGCACAGGTGGGCAGCAGCAAGCTGGTGGGTGAAGCATGAGCCGCATGCCACGTTTCAATCCTCAGCTGTCACCCACCAGCTTCCTCACAAGGCGAGGAGGCCCTGGGGCCTTAGCAAGAACTTGCCCCAGGGCACGGCCAGTTGGTGCTAGACTCCCAGCACGCATATTTGGTTTAAAAACCCAGGTTTGTAATTCACTTCCACAACCATAAGCCTTTTAAAGAGGAGGCAAACTTTGAATCCCAGCGTGGTCCGTGGCGCCTTTCAAAATGAGTGCTCTGGAAGTGGGGGCCCTGACATTGGAGGCCTTTGAGGCCAGATTTCCCTTGAAATTTTGCATTTGATCAGAATGTTTAAAGCATTTGCTTCAAAATAAGTTATTTATTTGTATATGTTCAATCAACGTAGTTTTTAATTTATATCTGTACATATTAGACACAGGAGCCATCTTGCCAGAGTTCTGACGGTGGTCTCATTTTCTTACCCTCCCAAAACATGCCCCAGGAACGAGTACCCTTGCCGCTGTGGCAGCAGCGAGTGTGACTATCTGACTTTGTAATGAAGCCAGGCTGGGGGCAAGAAGCCCGACAGGCAGGCCAGGGTCCCCGGAGAAGCTGGGTTGTGGGGGGCAGAGGCCTGACAGGCAGGTCAGGGTGCCTGGAGGAGCCAGGCTTGGTGGGGGCAGAGGCCCGACAGGCAGGTCAGGGTCCCTGGAGGAGCCAGGCTTGGTGGGGGCAGAGGCCCGACAGGCAGGTCAGGGTCCCTGGAGGAGCCAGGCTTGGTGGGGGCAGAGGCCCGACAGGCAGGCCAGTCCCCGGAGAAGCCCGATTTCTTTGCAATGTCACCATTACTTAGCAGATCGTCATGTTTGCAGGGGGCTGGCCAGCTGTAAGGGCGCTGACCAGATTACGGGGAACACGGTGGCCAGAGGACTGGTCAGGTGTGGAGCTGACCGACCCTGCGGGGCTCAGGGCTCCTTCCATTCTCACCCTGAGCCACAGTGTCCCTCTTCAGGGCTCCACTCCTGCCTGTATTTTGGTAATGGGTCAACAGCCTTCAACCTCCATTTGTATATTTTTATGATATACTTAAATCACTAACCAACTTCTTCCGTAGAAACAACTCTCAGATTAGATGGCTTGCTCTGGTCCCCGTGACTTGGGCACAGGCATGGGCCGTGGGAAGATCTCGGGCAAGGCCCGTCTGTCTGCAAGGCCGGTAGTTCCCTCCCTCGGCTTCCAGAGGCTGCGGAGGCTGCAGGGTAACCAGTGTGGGTCTGCTGAGTCACCCCAGGCGCCAGACTCGCCCCAGGAGTGTGGGCCGCCATCCACGGGGCCGTTCCTGAGCCTTGCCCTTGGGTCTGGCAGGAGGCCATTTTTCAGCAATGGGTCTGTCCCATCTCACCCCTCCATACCTGTGCCCTGGCATGGCCAGGCCTAACCTTCCCCTTTATCTTATTCGTCCCAAGAGTTATTATTGGCCATTTCTAAGTAGACAGAATGACCCTAAAAGGTGGAGATGTACGCCTTTTGAAAAGTCTGTTTCAGAAAGTGTGTCCTTGGCTCTGAGGCCACCCCCAGGAAGGAGGTTGAGGTTCATTGTCATCCTGGCCACAGTTTGGTGCTTGTGTGTGGGATTCAGAGGGCAGCACTGAAGCCAGGGTGAGGTGTAGGGGTTGTGGGCAAAGTTCCCTTGCTTGTGGGCACACCTTACCTTGCCACAAGCGGCTGCTTACTCACCCACTGTTTGGGGGGATGTAAATTTTGCCCACGGATGAACTTCGTTACCCAGGCGAAGTGCTCTGTTCATGCACCTAACTCATGTCATTGGACACCTTCCAAGGATGGGCAGCCTGCAGCGGGGCCGGCGACCCCCATCCAGCAAAAAGGCACCTTGGGGCGCAGGGCAGGGCTGACACCCTGAGCTCACAGGGGGCCCTGCGGTCCGGCACATGGCCATCCTTCAAACAGCCTCTTCTCGGGGCACAGCCCTGGGGGTCTCTGAGTATGCTCTGCAACTTACCTAAGGTCATGGCAATATTTAAATGTTAAACTATTGGCTTCCTCTTTTCCTAAAATAATTTTCTAGTTCGAAAGAGGAGAAATCATTTTTTCCGGGTTGTTACTGTCTCCTTATCCCTGTGATGGGCTGGATTCATACTGTGAAATAAACTAAAATGAAACCAAAATGTTCCTGCCATAAACACGTGGCATACACTGTGGAAAAAGCAAAGCTGCCTCGATTTGTGAGTCCCCATGCCATAGCAGGGCGGTTCATCGTCTGTAAAGGAAGGGAAGCTGCACCCAGGAAGTGTGGCTTCAGATATGTCCTCCCCCGGAGTCCATGAAGCCCCTTCCAGCTCTGGTCTTCCAGAAAATCTCCGCTGTACCGTGCACAAGTATTACTGGGTGTTTTTAGTTGTAGCCATGGAAGATACTTTCAAGATGAGATCTTCAGATCATAATTCTTAGGGACCAAAGGCATTTTTAATGAGATAATCTTTCTGATTTTCTAACAGGAAAGGAAATACTCACTTTAAATTTTAACATCAACTTTTAAATGAGAGCTATTCAGAATTGATTGACCATGGTGATAGGTTGTAAAATGTTTTCATATTAAGAATGTAATTATTTCCTTATTGTATTTTTTAAAAGCTAAAGTCCTATTTAAAATTCTCTTTGAAAGAAACAAAGAAACAGCAAAGATTTTTTTAAATTAAATATGTTGGTAGTGCCCATTTTAAATGACTGTAAATATATTTTCACTGTTTCTCAATGTATTTAATTCATAAAGTAAAAATTTTATGAAAAGAAACTTGCAATGAAAATCCTAGTTTTCAGTCCACGGGCCCCATTTTGTAGCTTCACTGAATTTCCTGCTTTCCTCGTTGATTTTTCTACTGTTTCACGTGGTGTAACCGAGACTGGCGCTCTTGGCGTGCCTCTTTGTGTATGAATAAACTTGTCTCCCCGAGCTGGTGTCTTGACTGCCCTTGGTGTGTGCTGCAGACTGAGAAGTAGCCCCTTTTCCTGAAGTCGTCGCTTTCAGGTGGGTGGGGTAGAGGGGACACGAGGGACACGCGGAGGGAGGAGGTGGGCAGATCAAGGAGCCATGGTTAGTAGTAAAAAGCTTGGAGTCTGCGGACCTGAACATCCAGTTCAAGGGACATTTGTGCACTTGCTGTGAGGCCGACTCCGTGCCAGGTGATAGAAATAGAAATGGATCAGCTAAGACTCCTGCCCTCAGGGAGCTTGCTCCAGGCAAGAGGAGACGGATGAGATCCCTGGACTGTATGATGATTTCTGGAATCACAGAGATGCTAAGTTTGAGGCTGTTGGGTAGGGTTTTTGCAGAGGAGTTGGGGTAATTTGAGCTAGGCTGTGGTGTTTAAATAGGAATTCTGCAAGGAGAGAAGTCATTTTCCAGGCGCCCTCGGCGTGCCCTGCTTTTATTCCGTGAGCAGCGTGTCCTCCCAGACAGCATGGGAGAAGGCTGAGCATCCCCGCTCCACCGTCCTCCCAGACAGCATGGGAGAAGGCTGAGCATCCCCGCTCCACCGTCCTCCCAGACAGCATGGGAGAAGGCTGAGCATCCCCGCTCCACCGTCCTCCCAGACAGCATGGGAGAAGGCTGAGCATCCCCGCTCCACCGTCCTCCCAGACAGCATGGAAGGCTGAGCATCCCCGCTCCACCGTCCTCCCAGACAGCATGGAAGGCTGAGCATCCCCGCTCCATCGTCCTCCCAGACAGCATGGGAGAAGGCTGAGCATCCCTGCTCCACCGTCCTCCTAGACAGCATGGGAGAAGGCTGAGCATCCCCCCTCCACCGTCCTCCCAGACAGCGTGCGAGAAGGCTGAGTGTCCCCCCTCCACCGTCCTCCTAGACAGCATGGGAGAAGGCTGAGCATCCCCGCTCCACCGTCCTCCCAGACAGCATGGGAGAAGGCTGAGCGTCCCCGCTCCACCGTCCTCCCAGACAGCATGGGAGAAGGCTGAGCGTCCCCGCTCCACCGTCCTCCCAGACAGCATGGGAGAAGGCTGAGCGTCCCCCCTCCACCGTCCTCCCAGACAGCATGGGAGAAGGCTGAGCGTCCCCCCTCCACCGTCCTCCCAGACAGCATGGGAGAAGGCTGAGCGTCCCCGCTCCACCGTCCTCCCAGACAGCATGGGAGAAGGCTGAGCGTCCCCGCTCCACCGTCCTCCTAGACAGCGTGCGAGAAGGCTGAGCGTCCCCGCTCCACCGTCCTCCCAGACAGCATGGGAGAAGGCTGAGCGTCCCCGCTCCACCGTCCTCCCAGACAACATGGGAGAAGGCTGAGCGTCCCTGCTCCACCGTCCTCCCAGACAGCATGGGAGAAGGCTGAGCGTCCCCACTCCACCGTCCTCCCAGACAGCATGGGAGAAGGCTGAGCGTGCCCGCTCCACCGTCCTCCCAGACAGCATGGGAGAAGGCTGAGCGTCCCCCCTCCACCGTCCTCCCAGACAGCATGGGAGAAGGCTGAGCATCCCCGCTCCACCGTCCTCCTAGACAGCGTGCGAGAAGGCTGAGCGTCCCCGCTCCACCGTCCTCGCAGACAGCGTGCTAGAAGGCTGAGCGTCCCCGCTCCACCGTCCTCCTAGACAGCATGGGAGAAGGCTGAGCGTCCCCGCTCCACCGTCCTCCTAGACAGCATGGGAGAAGGCTGAGCATCCCCGCTCCACCGTCCTCCTAGACAGCGTGCGAGAAGGCTGAGCATCCCCGCTCCACCGTCCTCCTAGACAGCATGGGAGAAGGCTGAGCGTCCCCACTCCACCGTCCTCGCAGACAGCGTGCGAGAAGGCTGAGCGTCCCCGCTCCACCGTTAATTGTTCCATGGTGGGCACTTAGTCTTGCTGGGAGAGTCTGGTTAAAGCTTTTAATAGGCCATTTTTAAAATCATGCTCCTTGTTGGCTTCTGAACAGAGGTCATGCCCTGGCAGGCTGCCAAATGGAAAGGAAGGGCCTCTGGTTTCCTTCCAAACTTAGCAAGAGGACACCAGGACTCCGCTTCGCTTTTTAACACCGTGGAGAGCGCTTAGGGATATTCATCATGTGAGTTACAGTTTTGGGAACAGGTGACACAAAGCCTGGAGAACATAAATCAGAAGCCCAGCTCCTTAATGGGAAGAGGGAACATGAGCTGGTGTCTGTGATCCAGAAATTTTACGATGGAAACTTCATCTGTTTTATGAGGCCGTCAAAAGTGGCTGTCCGTTCACACAAAGGGACCGATTCGTACGTGGGCAGGAGACCTAGCAGGATTCATGAAGAGGTCAGGTGTCCACATCCTGCATGTGGGGTGGGGACGGGGGCTAGTTTAGACCCTACCCTGAACATGGAGGGTCTGGTGCATCTGGAACCCTCCTTGGGGCGGGGATCCTCCCAGCTGAGCTGCTCCCTCCTTCCTGGGGCCACTGATCTCTGCTTTGCGGCACTGCTCAGGAAGTGTTTTTTCCTGATGCCTTAACACGGAACACCTTGCTGACACTGGAGGGATGGCCCCTCCCACGCTGGCCAGTTCCTAGAGGTAGTAACCCCTAGCCAGAGGTAGTACAGGCCACCACACTAGGGGGGTCTTGAGGCTCTCACACTCCAGGCCTCTATGTCCACCCCGGCCCTAATCACCCCAGCAGACCACGAGACACAGCTGATGCCAGGAGCCATCCATGGAAGTGATTGAGGCCACCCAGCCCCAAGCATGCTTCCCTGGCCGCAGCTGTTCCTTCCCACGGAAACCACAGCAAAGGTTCCTGGCTTTGCCTGCACTTTCCCCTCGCTCCCCCGACCTCCCAGCTGGCCTGCACTTCCCTTTGTGGCCTGGTGTGGCCTAGCATGGCATGGCGTGGCATGGCGTGGCCCATCCTGAGAACCTTAACAAACTAGCTTGTCAGTGACAGAAGGGCCTCGCCGTTACCTGAAGGTGAATTGAATGGATGTTTCCAAATGCCCCAGTCCTGTGGAAAGGGACGGACCTGGCCAAGGCCTGTCTTAGGTCTGCAAACTGCCTGTCATCCCATAGAGCGGGGAATAACCACTCGAACCTGTTCTAGAATTCAGGGAGCTGCGTGAACTACCCAGCACGAGGCTGGCCCCAGACTGGGGCAGGTGGACGTCCCCCACCTGGGCTGTGGCACAGTCCCCAAAGGCACTGGGATGACAGCCCTTCTGCCAGCCTCCTGCTGGGCACAGCACTTGGGGCCTTCCTGATCATGCAGGGACCAGGCCGACCCTCTGGTCCAATCCCACTGCCACCCTGCTCCTGGGCACAGCACTTGGGGCCTTCCTGATCATGCAGGGACCAAGCCAACCTCTGGCCTGGGCTAGATCCTAATTCGAAGCAGGAAGGCAGCACGCAGCCGACTGCCCTCAAATATGGAAATGAGGCCCGGGGGAAGTGACTGCCTGAGAGGAAGATCAAGAGCGAGCCTGGCTGCCTCTTCCCACTGCCCTGCTCCTCCGAGGGGCGGGTTCCCGTGTGACCTACCAACTGCCACAGCTGCGACACACTCAAATTTGACAGCAAAGAGCAGACAGAAAGCTGCTGGGCCTGCTGTGGAACGCAGCAGAGCCACACTGATGCCGCGGCTGCCGTGGCCCCTGGGGTCCCCGGGCTCCATCCCTCCGCACGTTCTCATCGGCCAGTCCCAGAAGAAAGAGCTGGGGGAGGAGGCACTGCATTTTATGGTCACAGTTTCAGGCCCTGAGATTATTCTGAAAATCACGAAACAAGTTAGTCCCGAGCTTCTTCTGTCAGGCCACGTTCGGGCCGAGCACAAGCACGAATCCCACCTGCTCTACCCTTGCGTTCAGCCAGGCAAGGACAACTTAGAACCAGAGCGCACATTTATTCCCTCAGCAAACATTTATGGAGCACCTCCTCTGCTGAAAATGTTCTAACGTGATCTTCACATATGTAAGATAGCACTCCGGCTGCTTCCCAGAGGAGGTGTGGGGTGGGGGCAGGGAAATCAGCCGGCCCAGGCACGCTCCAGGCAGAGACCCTGCTCTCCCAGCCCCTCCCTCTCTGACTCCCAGAGCATGACTCCGCTCTGTCCCCCAACCTACCAGCAGGGACTCATCCCTTCCCTGGCTTCACTGTGTGGCTCCTGCTGAGCCATGCAGGGAGACACGCATCCATTGCCCCTTCCCAGGCAGGTGACTGCAGGGTGCAGCTCCTTCTCCAAGCCCTGAGGTTGAGCTGGGAAGCGGCCCTGGGCTGTGCAAGCCTGAGCTTCCATCATGGCATGGCCCTACAGAAGGGAAGGCATTTGGGAACGGGGGTGACCGTTGAAGGCAAGAAGCCAAGGCTGTGGGCAGGAGGCAGAGAGAGCAGGAGAAGAGGGGTGAGGCCTGCAGGGCGGCCACAAGCTGGCCTGGGATGGGAGCTGCTGCGGGGCCAGCGCTGTTGGCTTTGCTGGGTTTTGCCAGCTCCAGGTGTAACCTCGCAGTAAAGCCCTCTTCCTAGGCGCAACACCAGAAGTCCAGTGAGTGCAGGTTCCAGCCTGTGTCCACCCCAGACCTTTCTCTACCTTGCCCCAAGCTGTGCATCTGCAGGTGCCCCCCGCAGAGCTCGAGTCCCCTGGTGGCCCGGCGCAGTGGCTCACGCGTGTAATCCCAGCACTTTGGGAGGCCTAGGCGGGCAGATCACGAGGTCAGGAGTTAGAGACCAGCTTGGCCAATATGATGAAACCTCATCTCTCTAAAAAATACAAAAATTAACTGGGCAGGGTGGCACATGCTTGTAATCCCATCTACTCAGGAGGCTGAGGCAAAAAAAATCACTGGAATCTGGGAGGTGGAGGTTGCAGTGGGCCAAGATCACGCTGCTGCACTCCAGCCTGGGCAACAGAGTGAGACCCCATCTCAAAAATAAAAAAAGAAAAAACAAGGGGGAACGATCCAAGATGGCTGATCGCTAACATCTCGGGATTGTAGCTCCCAGTGAAAGCACAGA